GTCGAGTATGAAATTCAGTGTTAAGTTTCCGCCGAACGAACTTATGGCCATTGGAATGGATGAATGTTAAACTTACTTTTATTACATACATCATAAGATACAATTTTTCTAAAAATCTAGGTATTTATTAAATTAACTTTTAGCAAATCCAAGTATTTTCTTGCGGATCATCGCTGTAATAAAGGGTTTTTTTCTTTTAGAATCTGTCTCAATTATAATATTTATGAATTATATTTCTGATAGAAGTAAATACTAATTGAAGTAAATGCGACCTCTTCTGGGTGGCTGATAAAGTGTCATTTTGCTCAAAAATTAGTTGGGTATTCCTTTATGTCCTCTAGTTAAAATTTATTGGCCACTCTGAGCTAAATATATCTAAAACTTTCTAAACATGTATACAATATTTTGAACACTACTAAAACCAAATTCTAATTTATTAGCTATTTTTCGGTAGCTAAGTCTATTAGAATGTAATTTAACGATGTGTTTTTTAAACTGACACAATATTCACTGGTTTTATCCATTTTGCAATGAAAAATATATATCAAAGACGGTTTTTTATTATATTCATTGTATTATCATCAATACTCGTTTCTAATTTCTTGTAAGAAAAAATATTATTATTTTTTTTACTATAGTTAATAGTAAATATTCAAAACTGTGCCAATACTTTTTTCACCCCTCAAAATTTACTCTTTATGTTTTCTTTTAACATAGATTTTGATTTCTGAACATTCATTGCTTCTAAAATATAATTTCCAAAGATCACTTTGTTATATAAATATTATTTGTGGAAAATATCTTAATGTTATTGAGATTAGCAGAAAATTGGAGTTTGCCAATATTTTTTTGATCCAATGTATATAAAGTTGAGTGGAAAAAAGGTTAATAGAAACTGTAAAATCATCACATAAACATAGTTTATCTAAAATTACAATTACCGTTTTTAGACGTAAACCAGATTCTAACATAAGCGTAGGCAGTTATATAGGCAGTTATATCTGAATATTTCTTTATTTAACGGGATTTCAAAACTTCTTACTTTTAAATCATTATCTAAAATAAAAAAAAAATCATGTTGTAAAGTCAGCAATTGTTCTTTGGCTATATCAATAAAATATCTTACTATATACTTAACAACTAGAGATTTATAAATTCTGATATACTAATTATGTGGAAACACCTGGTTGATAATTTATCAGATTATCAAACTTTAATTACTAATAAGATTTTTTAGTATAGAACTAAAGAAATTACATAACCATGATAAGCTCCATAGATTCCAATTTGTACAGGATCCTTAGTACTTAGTTAAGTAAAGCCCTATTTCTGATCTTAGCTTCGAGGTGTTGCTTTTTTTAAGGACTCTTTCCTTGACCTCAGCCGTCCCTTTTAGGGCAACTGATGCAATTTTTATTTCCTTTGCCTGCTTCCTTTTAAACTTTTCAGAGTTTTATCCGCCGAGTGGAGAACACGGTTTAACTCGTTTCTAGGATTTGTCCTCTTTCTCTGTGTACGGTTCTGTCTGGTAGTGTTTCTTTTTTATATTAAATTCTTTTATAGGGCGATTTTATAGCCCTTCCGCATGAAAACTTTATATTTAGGAATAAAAATGAAATACATACGTATATATATATATATATATATATATATATATATATATATTACATTGAACGATCCAGAGTCGTAAAGCTATACTCATATGTTTAAACATAATTCGAATAATATCCAGTAGACACAAATAGACTACAATTAGTAAAAAGATATGAGAGTAGGAGACTAAGGTTTCCCAAACAAAGATGCCGTCGCGAGGGCCTGAGCCTGTTGAAATTGCAAAAAAACCCCGCTTTTATCAAAAATTAGATATATCATAAGCAATAAATATTATCAATAAAGCAATGTAAAAAGAAATACGTTCAAGTAAAAAGTAATATACAATATCCTTCATATGTATCTCATTTCTTCTTTCTATATTATTTTTTTTATTTTTGCGGGAGAAAGGGTGGGACGCACATAATGCAATGGCTAAAATGCACCAAATTTTAATGACCCGACTGTACTTGGGGCTCTGTCAACTAACGCGTCATGCGACAATCGGCTTTGCCAACGGTACAAGGTGGATGCATATAAAGCTACTAAGAGCGTTTCTAATAGTCGATGAAGAGTGATATTCTTTTCCAAAAGACTTCCATTAGCAATATATACGTCTTTAAGTCCCTCCTCAATGAGTTGATTCCTTTATTCTTCATTTTCATTAAAAATGTTAGTAAAGAAATCTTTCAGGTGTTTCTACAGGGTGTTTCGTAATTTCACGGCACTATTTTAAGTATTTATTCACTAAAACAAAATAAACAAAAAATTTCATATTAACATATATCTCAAACTCACTTATTAAACAGATATCAAAGGTTAAAGATTTATTATTTATTTACTACATTAAGACTGACTGTACAAAGTTTAACGTGTTTAATATTAAATAACAGGTTTTAATTATCTAATAAACAAATTAACGATTAGCAATGACAGTGGTTGCTCATCTCTTTGTCTAGTACTGTGTGTTTTAGTGTGAGTGAATACTGTGACACAGTTCAATTTATCTTTATCATGAAATACACCATCAATTTATTAACTTTTGCAGATCAAACAGACATGTTTTTAACTTATGGTGAGATACATAGAAACGGTGCTGCTGCTGTTCGAAGATATCGTGAACAATTTTCTAACCGAAGAATACCAAATCGTAAAACGTTTGAGGCCATTGAAAGACGCCTTAGGGATAATGGCGCGCTAAAACCGGTCGACAAAGATTTCGACGAACTGCAAAGAAGAAATACTCGATGCTGTTCAGTTATCTCCTACTACTAGTACCAGAAGATTGTCACGTCGTTTCGATGTTTCATCTATCAGCGTATGGCAAACTTTACGCGAACAACAATTGTATCCATTTCACGAATCAAGTAGGCAAGATTTGTCACAACAAGATTATAACAAGCGCAGAAATTTCTCTCAGTAATTAATTCGATAATTCACATGAGGTCCTTTTATCCATGAGATAATTTACAAAAAACGGGATTCTTAATGTTCGAAATAACCATACTTGGGCTGAAGAAAACCCTCATACCACTGCTGTTGGACTTTAACAACATACCTTTTCTTTAAATGTCTGGTGTGGTTTTCTAAGCAACATCATTGGCCCCTTCTTTTTGCCACCTAGGCTGTCAGGTATATCTTACTTGCATTTTTTGCAAAATAATCTTCATGAAGACTCCTAGCAAGGCATTCGGCAAAGGCTGTAGTTTATGCATGACAGTCCTCCAGCTCACTTTTCTAATAGTGTCACTGATTATTTAAATGCAACTTATGTAGACCGATTGATTGGTCGAAACTGGCCTGTTAAATGGCCACCACGATCTCCGGATTTAACGCCATTAGATTATTTTATGTGAAATGTGGGGTGAATTGGGTGAAGTCTGTGGTTTATTCTGCGGCAGTTGGCACGCAAGAAGACCTAAGGAATCAGATTCTTGGAATCCACAGTAACTGTCAAGCACCATCCTGATGCTATACAAAAGCCAGAGAAGCATGGATTCGTCGTGCTGAACGTTGCATTCAACAAAACGGAAGCCCCATTGAACAGTTACTCTAAATGTTGTAAAAATAATAAATAAATAATAAATCTTTACCTTTTGATATCTGTTTGATAAATGAGTTTGATATATATGTTAATATGAACTTTTTTGTTTATTTTGTGTTAGTGAACACACACCTAAAATAATGCCGTGCAATTACGAAACACTCTGTATATTATTATAATAGCATGATGAAAAAATAAAAATATCGTAAACAAAATATAAAGTTACTGCAAAAAAATGAGGAGTATGGAGGTAATGGAGTACTGTTATCCATTTTACTAATAATTCTCACTAAGGATCCAGTATTTACATTTGGGTGGCTTCAGCCCAAAATCTTTTTTGTTTCATATATTTACCGTTAATTACTTTGGAACAAAAAGAAAGAAACTAATTACCTTAATGAAATGGTGTTTGAAGTGATTCTTGAACTCCGATTAAATGTAATTCACTAACAATAATAATTTTTTCGTAAGACATGGTTATTTTACCATTTTGCCAAAAGAAGGCTTCAGTCTGAAAATTCCCCCACCCCCTGTAGATCCTCTTGTGCTAATACTTAAGCTTTTGAGTGATTAGGAAGTTCACCTATTTTTTTAACCTTTATGTCAAGATTCTCACAGTACTTACCTTTTTTTTTGTTTCCGATCTTGTCTTCATGTTAAACTTTGACACATTGGCTTACTTAGATAACTAAACTAATAAAAATTTATATTAACAAATTCAATGCACTATCTTTGACATAGTAATATCCAAACAATATAATTCCAAGCACAAATCATAACTTATAGCAAAAATTAGGTACTTTTTTATTTATGTATATTTAGTTTATACTCTGAAGTTAAGATGTGTCATATTTGATCATGGTTTCAATAATTGTAAGCTATATGGTGTAACATAAATGGTTTTAATATCCTTACTTATCACTTCCAGACACTACATTACAGAATTATTTAAGCTAGGAGTTAAATTCCTTTTTTTGTGGAAACACTTTATCTTATTGACCACATCTCTTCTCTTATGAATTATAAGACTTATGAATCACACATATATAAAAATACATTGTAGATAAATTATTTTGATCATGATTTTTAAATACAAAAATATTTCAGTTTCCAATCTATATAATTTGAAAAAAATACATTTTATACAAAATTTGATTTTAATCTAACATTAATCTTTTAAGAAAAATATAATATATTTATTATTTACTACTTTTTCTCACAGATTAAACTTTTGTTTGTTCCTTTTCTGTTTCAGACATGTACTGAAGAATGGCCAGATCGATATAGTGAAAGTGTTTACTTCATAGTAGCTCACCTTTTCATGTGCTATATCCTTCCACTGATTCTGATATCCATATGCTATATTATGATATGGCAGCGTGTGGTCACTCGAACCCTGCCTGGCGAAACACATGCTCATGGAGAACAACTAATACAGAAGTCTAAGATGAAGGTTATCAAGATGTTGCTTGTTGTGATAGTCTTATTTGCTTGTTCTTGGCTTCCACTGTACATCATCTGCAGCAGGGTAAAACTGGGTGGTGAGATCGGCTCCATGGAGTTGGCAATAATTGAGTTCTTTCTGCCGATAGCACAGTGGCTTGGAACATCAAATTCTTGCATCAATCCCATCTTGTATGCATTCTTCAACAAGAAGTTTAGAGCAGGGTTCAAGGCCATTGTATCTTCTCGTTCCTGCTGCTCGACACTTCGATATGATTACAGAACTCAGTTCACTATCAGCTCTCGAGACATTGGTAATGGTACCCAGAAGGTGCCAACTAAGAGGATGACAATATCTGCTGGAGTTCCAGTCAAACCAAAGAGGCCTGACCCTAACTTGAGGACTATGTCTCTCAGAACACCGTTGCCATCAAATAACAATTTCCAAGATTTCCGCACCTACTGTCATGATCTCAACTGTAATGGAACATTTGTTTAAGTTAATTTGGCGCAGTGAACATTATAGTTTAGTTACTTTGGTATTAGCAACTCGGCCCTTATTTCTTGGAAAAGAAGGGATCCACCAGTTCGGAGCAACGGGTTTAAAAAAAAAAAAATATGTCGAGCAGAGGTTATGTACATATAGCTTTAAAGAAATAGCTTAACTGTATCGTTACAATAGTTTACAGCCTACCTTAGTAGTTAGTCGTTAGGCGAGATGTTTTGTGACAATAACTTTTGAACAATTTGGTTGTGATGGAAGGTCCTTGGACATTCATGGTAGACAATTGTTTGAGGTAAGGATTGCTATTGATGTCTTTCAACATATCTGTATTGTCTCTACTTAAATGTATTATATTTAAGGTTTAAGCATGTTATTTCCTAAGAATGAGAGTGGAGCAGACTATGTGAAACAGATTTGAAATTTATGTTGTGATAAAATAGATTTAATTTAATTATAGATAGTTTTAAAAACCTCTTAAAAAGATAAATATTTTTTAAAAAATATGATATAAAATCAAATTTTATAAATCATTGTTTCTTTAAACAATCGATAATGTTGATCAAAGAAACATAAATAAATTATAAAAACATACCTTAAAACATAAAAACTTATAATCTAAACTAAGCATAATTAGCTCCAACTCATTTTCCTCCATTTTTCTTTTGAAAAGTAAATTTTAGAAAAGTTAGGATTTAAGGGTAGAACCACAGTTATAATATATCAATCTTTTTTTAAGAATGTGATGCATTTAGATTTAAGCTTCTTCTTGTATGTTAATGTATACATCTCAACATCGTTCAAGGAGAAAATAATAAAATTAATCATCTGATTCATTTCATTTATGAGTACTGAACATAAGGATTTATGGGAAAACATACTTGCAAGAAGCGATTCTTTGACAAAATTCCAATCCTGTCTTCACGGTTTTGACCAAAAATGTTTATCATAAGCACTTATCTACAAAAATTGCTAAATGTTTCTATGTAACACTTATTGCTTGAAAAAATTAATCAAGATTTCTTCTTCTGATTCTTGTTTTTTTTTTTTTTTTTTTTTTTTTATATGCTCTCAAGTGTGGTGCTGCAGTCCTAGCTCAACTAGTTTCTGTCACTTGTTACTCTTCTCTATTGAAGGATGCTGATTCCTTTTGATTTGCTTTTCCAATATACTCAGAGGACATACATATATTAGAATTTCTGCAATCTGATCTAGCTTCTAAGTCGGTAGTTCTCAAACTTATTTTGATGCTGCACCCTCATAGGACTAAAATAATATTTGTACCACCCTTGTTTGACTAAACAAAAGTTGTATCTCAGTTATCCTTAAAATGGTGATACAATAGAATATTAAATATTATTGACATCACACTCTGTTCGAGAACTCATGTTCTAAATCACCAGGCCTTTCAGGTAACATCCATTCTGCAGACATACCTAAACCCATTTAGCTGCTTTTCCAAGATATCACACTGATAGGGCTCCCAAAACCTTATGAATCCTGTTGTTTCTGATTCACTTTCTCTTGGTCTTACTGATTATTCTTCGGACTAATCTCATTTCAACATATATGATCCTGCTTGCATACTTGCCGGTAGTTTTCCAAGTTATTGATTCATTGAGGAGCACTGGAAAGAACACAATTTAATAGTCTATGTTTGGCCTCTCTGCTTACTTCCTGCTGACCAATTATTTTGTTGATATCTGATGTATGATTATCCTTTAGCCTTCAATTTTCAATTTAGAAACTCCTTTCCTGTTTTACAATTTTTGCTTATAATGGTCTCCCCAGACATATTCTCTAGTTCTAGAGGGTGGTCATCACATAAAATCTTGTAATATTACGCTCATTACATTTTACCATTATATTTTCCACTATCATAACCTTGTTTTAAGTTGAATTTATCAGCCACACTCTTGGCATTATTTGTACATTCTATTAAAGATATCTGAAAAGCTTCCTGGAAGTCAGCTATCAGAATATATCATTAACTAAGATCATTCTGGGAGTTATCAAAGGATTTAAATTTTAATATCACTCTGCAACTATTTGTGTTCTTCTTTTACAAATATCATATGAAAGATAAAAAGCATGGACTAAGATTCTGATTTACTCCTTTATAAAATTAAAAAAGATGTAATGTCAAGCCATCGAGTCTTACATTACTCTTTAAATCTAGGTATGTAAACATATTTAATGGCACTTAATAGGTTTGCTGACACACTTCTTCTAATCAGTGTATCCCATTTCTACAGTCTCAGAATTGTATCAAAATGTATACAAAGATCAAGCAAGCAGCCAGATAACATTGCCATGAATCCCTAGGTTTTTTCTTCAATCACCTAAGGTGAAAAAAAATGTGATACTCGGTCTTCTAGGTTATTTGAAAATTAGTTCAATTATACAATTATAAATTGGTTTAACCGTGTAACTTTCCCCTATATTTTATATTTTCAATGGCAGTAGAAATTCTTTGAGGCACATAAAAAAAAAAAAACATATATTTTAAATAAACGACTTCACTTATAGCTAAGGATCTCTTCTTGAAAGAAATTGAATAAACTAAAAAATGAAAATGGATAAATGTGATTTTATATTTTATAAGAAAATTTGGAGTAAAATGTATTGTATGGTTAAATTATTATACTTGTGTAGTAGCTTCATTTGTTTTAAAATATTAAAATGTACACAACAAATTCATAATATATGTATTTACATATATATACATAGTATATTTACCAATATGCATGTCTTACTGAAAATAAGTGACAGAAATAATGTGTCAGCACATGCACTATTTGCTAAGTCATAAATACAAACATAAATAACACATTATAAAATCTATTTTAGATAATTTAATTTGTTTTTTATTTTATAAATGTCACATCGGGATCACAAAGAGTCTTTCAGAATAACTATTTTTTTGTCATAAAGTATATTGAGATTTAAATTGTTACCATTATTTATAGGAAAAAGTGTTTATAATTTGTGGATAAAAGTAATAAATAATTTTAAATATAGCTACAATTATAAATAGTCAAAATTCTTTATTATCCCAGTGGAAAATAATAAATTTTATTGGTAAAATCAGCTAAATAATTAATTTAATTGTATATGTATTAAAAAAAAAAACTTATACTATCACACACTGATACTACCACATATACCATGTTACAATTTGCTTATGGATATTGCTATATGCAATTTTAATTAAACATATCAATTATATATTGCATTAAGATATTTCATATCACTGTCAATAATTCTTTTTTAGAGTTCAGTTTGAATCAAATTTCATTAATCTGAAAACAAAAATTATAGTGTATTTTTCATTTGCATATATATCTATTTGAGATTTATTCCAATAAAAATTATATATTTTTTGAACTTGCGAATGAAGAAATATAACTTGATGTTGAATAGGTGGCTTGTTGAACGAAAAGCCTTAACAAATTTTTTTTTAACTAAGGGAAACTTGTTAATCAATAGGAAACATTGAATGGTCGCAAAAAGGAAAAAGTTATTAAACTAAGGATATTAAAAGATATTACCATATGCAAAGTAATATAGGATAGTTCATAAACAATTCCAGAATTGTGCATTGTTTTAGTTAGAAAGTTTAAAAATAATTATAAATGTTTCCATTTAGATTAGTTTTAATGAAAACATTTATTTTCCATTGAATAATATTATTTTCAGACATTATTAGCGAACAATTTTATATAACTATCCATTACTTTTTATACCTTTATATATTAGATAATATTTATTTATTCTTCTAAATCTTCAACTTTCAAACGATGTTTTCAAAATTGAAAAATGTTTCTCTTTGTTTTCCTTTTTTGTTTGTTAAAATTCCTTCTTTATAAAATGATATTTCCGTAAAGTCAAATTTAAAAAAAGGATGGTTAAACATCCCAGGTATATACATAATTTCAGCTTATTCTACTTTTTGTTTTTGTTGTAAGCTATCACACAAACACTCACACAGACACCATTTTTTGATACCTAGTTATTTGGGCTCAGAAACCTTCAATTTAAACTTTTTTTATGAATGCAACATTTTTCCATTATAAAAATTTCATATATGGGTATGGGATAGTAAAAATAAGACTGGTTTCCTGGATATCATTGCCAACAAGTTTTCAACTTTTACATTGGTAGATCTGGAGCATATCAATACATTTTTTTATTAGCATATTAGAAGAAAATTGACATTCTGTGTCATGGTATTAAGCTGCAGGGTCATTTAACTAGTACATTAATTGTATCAATTTATTACATTAGTACATAAACACAATTTTTCAGGTTATTAAATTAAGTTCTATAAAAAACTATTAATTTTGATTATTTTTTATGGAAATTAATTTAGATTTAAACTTTAATTAGAAACCTAGTATAAAATGAAATTAAATTATTTTATTTAATAATAATTATACTAAGTTTTTTTTTTTTTTTAAGAAAAACATAGGATGCATTGATCTGTTTTGTTTTAGTCTAGCAGTGAAAACCAACTTTTAGGTAGAGAGGCCTCCTTTCACACGATTTGAATTACATTTCTTGTCTTTGTGGTCCTATACTGAAAATAATCAAACTTCAGTTGTTCACTTTTGTATATAATGGAAAGCAGTCTATTGGATAATGAAAAGGTAGATAAAAAACATTCTTTTTTTTTATCAAAAATATTATTATACAAGATTATGTATCAAAATTTTAATTTAATATAATATTATGAAAGTTAGCTTTGTTTAAAAAAATCCACTTCAGTTTATTCAGAAAATCATTTAAAAAACGCTTTGCTTCTCCAACATCTCAACTGGAAGAAATACTTGTCGGTCATTCTTATATTATTTGACCATTAATCATTTATTGATCATTACTGAGATTTTGCTGAGGGTGTTACTGCACAAAGAAAAGATCCATTCAAGAGAATCCATAATTATAATCTGAGCCCACTTACTATTATTTCTCATTAAACAAACTTTTTTTTTTAAGAACTTAGCTAAATAAGTTAAAGTTGAAGTTATAGAAATTAGATTTGTAATAAATTTAGAACTTAATAACACTAACATTCCTTGGAATATTGGATCTTTCATTCACAAAAAAACTGTTTCAAAATTGTTTTTTATTTGTTTACTGTATCTGCAGAAAAAATCCTAATTTGTAAATAATTATTTTATTAATTAATCTACTTATCTTTCTAAACACCAATCATTAAATTTAATTAAATGAATATTTTAAAAGTTAATTAAAGAAATTCACTATGTATATCAATAATAATAAATTTAAAGAAATTCTGATGTTTTACAAATAATTTGAATGACATCTCTCTCACTGGATTTTTAATTTTTTTATTATATATTTGGGATTTTAGTTCAATCATATGAAATAAGATCAGATTGAAAAATTCAATTAGGCAAGATAAGACAAAAAAAATTATTTTGCAGGTCTTATATTGCCAATGCATTAACCTTATATGTATAAAGTAACCATATATGTATGAAAGTCGGTGTATGGTATTGTTGAATAAGGATTTAAATTTTTTGGCACCATGTATGAATATATTTTCCAAGGTATTACTTTAACTTCCATTCCTTATTAGTGAAAAATAAATAAATCATGATAAATTAACAGTATGCATAGAATGTTTACTTTTAATTTACTGATTAATGATAAAAAATAATAAAATTTTAATGATGAATCCTATGAAAATGATATCTTTAAATATAAAAGTTCTTATTAAAAAGTTATACAGTAACATGTGTCAATGTAACCATAGTAACAATATTATGAAAAGAAATATCAAATTTAATGACATTTTTTATTTCATTATTGATCTGGGTAAAGGATTAGTAAGTGTTTTGCTAAAATACAATAATTGGTGTTGTTACTTGAAGATATTGGTCTTCATAAAACTGTATGCTGTTTCAATTACCATATCATGAAATAATGCACTTAAAAAACAGAAGATTGTAATATTTTTATAAATAAACTTAGAAAAAAAGTCATGTGGAATCGTGCTTCAAGAACTGATCCATTATCTTCATCAAAAAAATATGTCAATATTTCACCAGCATCATACAATCCCTATCCAAAATTAAAGAAGAAACGTAATGACTTGTGCTTCTAATTCACACATGTAAATGCTTTATTTTTATTGTTTTGTTTTTTCAGATTAGACTAATGACTTGCTATCTAACTTTGTATGCACAGCCTGCCATGTACCATTTAACTGTTCTACCAATGCACTTGCTTTAGCTGATACTGGTGTTCCAGCCCCATGCACTTACAATATAAGATATAGGAAACACCGTATTAAAGTAAGAAATGTTTTTTGTTCATTTTATAGAATAAATTAATTGCATATAAATTATAACATGTTATTACTCTGTAAAAAATCGAAACAAGATTCTGTGCAATTGGTTGCATTAGCGATTTTATGATATATTATTTTATATATATTATTTGTATTATAATTTGCGGATTAAATATCAATAATCTACTTTATAACTTCAAGATTATTATATTATTATTGGAAGATTCCAAATAAACCTTTTAAATTCTCAAAGAACTACTATATTAAACTGTGTTGCAGAGTATATTAAACTGGTATTGAGAGGTTTATTATGTTTGTGTAGCTAGGTTGCTTTGATATATGTAAATTCTTTTCCATCCTAATAATAACTGAATGGCTAAAATAATACTTTATTATTCTTTGTTTTTTGAGTGGTCATAATGGATTAATTTTAGTTTTCATATTAATATTGTGATACTTTTATTTATTTTTTATCTCATTTTATTAATACTTATTTTTAGTATTTTTACTTTTGTTTTTAAGATTTTTCTCTTATCAAATATTTAATTTAATGAACATATCACTTTTGTAAAGTTTCATTCAAATACAAAATTTCATAATTGTCAAAAAAATTAAAATTTAAGTGGTATTTTTTAGGGAGGTGCAAGTTTAAGGTTTACAGATCCTAGAGTTACTTTTAGCCGTAAGCCTGGACCTTCTCCTCTTTCTTATGATCCAGACTTGTTATATGAACAAAAATGGGAAAGACGTACCAGAGGAAAGGTATGCATTATGAACATCTTTGTTTTTTTAAATTAAAATTTGATGGACTTTTTTTAAAATGTTACATTGTTATGAAAAGTTTTAGTTAGCAGCTTGGTAGTTATATCATAAAAAATAGATATATTCTTTTAGTTAATTTTTAATTGGAAAAAATCACCAATATGACAATAAGTACACATGACTTAAAAAATTAGAAATCATAAAAACACTTATTGATCATTTTATTTATTCGTTTATTCTACTCTCCCATTCCAATATGGTAATATGGGGTGTTTACACTATGGTTCATTGATTTTGAAATGGATTTAATTAATCTCTTGATTAATTTTTTTATTATTTTATTTGTACATATAGAGGTCTATTACACTACGTTATTATAAAAGTCTTTGTGCATTAATTCTTTACTGATATTAAAGTCACCATTATAATGCTTGTTTGACTGTGATATAAAAAATGCATATGTTGGTATTTAGTTTGAGTAATCCTCCATTTAATTAATTGTACCGTCTGCCTCTCATATTCTGTTTTTATAAATTTCACTATAAACAATGGAGAAAAATATTGTCACTTGAGGTCAGTTGAGGCACTACTGGAAAAAAGAATGATGTCCTGAGGCAGCAGCTGAAGAAATTTGTGAGGTGGAAACTGAAAATGTGGTGCATCCTGACACAGCAGCATTTTGGTTCAAGTAGTTTCGTTCTGAGAACAACGCTTATAGAGAGTTCTTCCATCCAGTGCTGCTCTCTATTGGGAAATAAAAGGCTCAATATGGGAACTTATGATAAGCCAATATACATCTTGAACCCACTAGTTAGACACAAAGGGACCTAGTACCAAAGGGATGACTGACTATACATTAAAATTAACTTACCTTCTACTTAAAATTTACAGTTTTTTCAATCACTACTCCATAAGTTACTGTTGTACATTTTTTTTTTGTTAGATCTTCTATATATAAAGGAAGCCTAAAACTTTCTTGATAAAGATAAGAATACTTGCTAAATACAACTTCAGATGAAGGAAGTAATGTGCAGAAATTTAAATGTTTCAGATTTACCGAGGTAAACCTCCTCGTTATGGATATGTTCCTTCAATTTCTATACCTCCTGCCCTATATGATGGCTTTGATATTATAAAAGGAAAAGGCTTAGTTCTGAGGCCACCAAGAATTGAATTTCGAAAAAGTATAGAACCCATGTTTCGTCATTTTCCAGTGAGTATATAGTTAGCTGACTTAACTTTATTTTTCTTATTAAATATAAATTTTATAATTTCAGTGAGATTGATATAATAAACTCTGTTTATTTATGTATGTATTATTTATAATTTCTTACATTACATTAAATGGTATACCTCTCTTATTAATCTTGGGCATTGCCTAGGAGGCACTCCTATGACATCCCAATCTAATAAATTTCATATATTTAATTTGTTGAATAAAATTTGTAAATTATTATCACCATCATAATTCATTGTCTACCTCATAATATGAGGCTCATATGCAGCGTGAGGTGTCTTCCTGTATAGCTTGGACAAAGTCCGATGATCCTCAATCATCTGTTCCATTTCAGACCTCTCTTTACGATGCATTCCCGTATTCCTTCCCAGCTTGAGCTGGTCTTCCTCTGGATCTTCTCCCATCAACTTTTGCCTCATATGTTCTCCTGGCATGAGGATTGTTGTCCATTCTTAAAATATGCCCAAACTACCTTAGATAATGCTCTTCAAAAACCTTTCTGCTGGTTCAACATAGATTTGACCTTGTGATTGTTCTATGGACATGGCTTCTTCTAGTTTTTGATTATATCTTCCTATGAACTCTCACTTCAGATGATTGTATTTTGTTATTATACTTTCTGATTTGATGATCACTGATGAATTTATCACAATTCATACTAGAAAATTAGTATGCGGAGTAATGTTGATTGGCAATTCTTTCATTTGGTGTACTTAAAGACTTCCTTTTTTTTAGAATTTTTTTTTTTATCTTCATTTATCATTATATTTTTTTTTATCATAAGCAATACGATTAGCAAGTCTGCTGTTAGGAAGAGTACATGTAGTGGCTTGATCGGCGTTATGAAGAGGAGTGCCCAGCGGCATGTCTGTCTTGATTTTAGCATCTTTTTAAGAGAGGAAATCCCTCATCAGCCTTCTAAGTGTGTTTTCGGGCATGTTAAATGTAGCCATACTTTCCTCAGCTCCTGATATCAAATCAAAATGGCTTCTACTTCGTAAGCTTTCCCTCTGTGAACCTTCTAGATCCCCTTCCTCAGTTTTCCCAATATCACCTGATGACCTAAACTCCCACTTTATATCGGTTTCCACCTCTTCTTTACCATCCCCTTCCGGCTTTTCTCCAGAGGTACCTTTTAAGGACAATAATTTTTATTTTTCCGACATTTCTCCCACAGACCTTATTACCGTTATAATGAAATCCCGTTCCAATTCCGTAGGCCCAGATGGCATTCCTATCAAACTAATAAAATTATGTCTCCCTGAAATCCTCCCAGCACTCCTTTTCATCTACAATTTCTCCCTGCAGAATTCAATATTCCCGACCTCTTGGAAAAAAGCCATTGTCCTTCCTTTAAATAAAAAGCCTAATCCATCCTCTCCCGAAGATTTCCGCCCAATATCAATCCTTTCCAATCTTTCTAAACCCCTAGAAAAGTTAGTGCAATCCCAAGTTTCCAACTACCTTGAACAATCCAACCAACTCGATCCTCTCCAATCTGGCTTCCGTCCTGGCTACTCTACACAATCTGCTCTGATTAAAATTACTAGTGATATCCAGACTGCAATAGATGACAAAAAACTAACCATACTTATACTGCTTGATTTCTCCAAAGCTTTCGATTCCATTATCCATTCCATCCTTTTCAACAAACTAAAATCATTATCCTTCTCCAATAGTTCCATCTCTTGGTTCCAGTCTTTCCTCTCACAACGAACCCAAGCAGTTTCCATACCTAATCAACCTCTATCTGCCTACCTTCCTTTATCCTCAGGAGTTGCACAGGGTTCAAGCATGTCTCCTCTTCTTTTCAGTTCTTATATTAATGACCTAAATGATTCAATTATCCATTGTTCCCACCACCTTTATGCCGACGATTCTCAAATCTATTTATCCTTTTCTCCCGCTGAGTTATTGGTGGCATTTGCCAAAATTCAAGAAGATTTAGATCGAATTAGTGCCTGGGCCAACTTAAATGGATTAAGGCTAAATGCTGCCAAAACTCAGGCCATTCTCATTGGTTCCAAGCCCCTTCTTAGATCCCACACCAACTTTCCCTCACTCTATCTAAACAACCACCCCATCACCTTCTATCCCTTTGTTAAAAATTTAGGCTTTCTCATAGATCAAACCCTTTCCTGGAATCACCATATCTCTCATATATCCCGCCGTGCAATTTCTACCCTCAAACTATTCCATCACTTCCGCCATCTTCTACCCCAAAATACCCGTAGACTCATAGTTTCCTCTCTCATCTTTCCCCACTTTGACTACAGCTGTGTGGTGTACGATGGCCTCTCGGTGGAACTGCGTGATAGACTCAAAAGACTTATGAATTGCTTCGTAAGATTTGTAATTGGAACCCCGAGACGCTCCCGTGTCTCCCACCACTACACTGAGTTAGGGTGGCTCTTCCCCTCCTTAAGAAGACAATATTTCCTTGGCACTTTCCTTTATCAAATCATTACCGATCATCGTCCTTCTTATGCCTACAACCTTCTCCAATTTAAGTCCTCAATCCATTCACTCACTACAAGATCCCGACCCTCTGACCTATACATCCCTTCTCATAGATCTGCCTCATTCCAAAATTCCTTTATAGCCCGCTCTGTCAACTTTTGGAATTCCCTCCCGATCAAAATTCGACATGCCCCTTCCCTGTATACATTCAAAAACCTCCTATTCCAATTCCTGTTCCAAAAACAGTCTGATACCAGCTAACTATTGATATTATATATGTATTGTGTAGCAATCATATAATCATAACACTTGGTAAGAGATAGTACATGCATTTCCTACTATCGACGTAGGAATTTCAATACATACATTTTTTTTTATATATTTTTTTTTTTTATTCAATTATAAGTAACTGTTTATTTTTATATGTATATTCAAGTAAAGTTTTTTTTTTTTTTTTATGAAATGAACTCATTGTATCTCTTTTTCGTTCTTCATTTCTCAAAGTGTATGTTTATGTTGTTCAACCCTCAAATATAATTTTGTTCACAGTTCAAGTGATTCGTTCATAGTTTTAATTGTTTTGTTCATAATTTCAAATGCTCTGTACATAGTTTTATCTGTTTGTATATAGCTTGTGCACCTAAGGTTTTCTTTACTTTTTATTTTATTTTATCAATTTTATTTATTGTTTCAACGTTCAGGCCAGTAATATTCTATTATTTTGTACATTATTGTTATTCTGAAGGGACTTAGTCCCAGAATAAAGTTTTTTTTTCTATCTATCTATCTATCTATAAGTGTGCTAATATGTCCATGTAAGTTATTGTGAAATCGCTTGTAGTGTTAACTGTTGGCATTTGAAGGTCATTATGTAATGTAATGTTTGTGATTTACCATCCATAGAGCTTTAGTTATGGTCCTAAAAGTTTGTAATTTTCGTATGTGTGTCGATTTGGCTGCCTTAGTGTGTAAATTTGTGAAGCGTAGGTCCATATGGGTTTAAGTAGGTAATTTTAAGTGTTCAGTTTTTGTTTTAAATTTAATTTTGAGCATCTTGAAAGAAGTGAGTATAACAGTCATAGTGTGAAGTTTAAAGTTTTTCTTTTTTTGTTGATATGTGGGCCCCATGTCATTCTTCTGTTGAATGTCAGTTCAAGATATTGTATTTTATCTGTTTGAGGAATTTCGGCATGGTCAAGGCAAATAGGAGGGCATGTTCCATGTCAAAGAGTTTCTCACACCCACTGTTCTAAGGTCGCTCTCAACATCTTGTAGCCATCTTTTCCTTGGTCTTCCCTTTCTTTTTGTGCCATACATTGTGGAGAACAATGCCCTATAAGGCATCCTGCTGTGGTCCATTCTAAACACGTGGCCATTCCATCCATTCATTCCATACGCCTAATTTTAACGAAATTAACTATGTTGGCACTATTATATAATTCGTATAGCTCCACATTATTTCTATACCTCCACACATCCTCTTCACAAACAGCTCCACAAATTTTTCTCAATATTTTTCTTTCAAAAATATTCAGCATACTAATTGTGCTAGTACAAAGGGTCCATGTCTCCGCTGCATAAGTCACAATAGGTCTTACTAAAGTCTTATCTTTGTTTCTCGTGACATAAGCGATGATTGAAAACATTTTAGGTTGGCATAGTACGGCCGGTTTCCAGCCATGATCCTCTTGTACACCTCAGCAGCAATTTTATTTTCAGAATTCACTTCCACCCCCAAGTATGTGAATTTTTTGACACACTCGAAGGTGAGACCACATATTTCAAAGCTCTGTGGACCAGGCTCATTGTCAGCTCCGACATACATGTATCTTCTCTTATCTTGATTGATTTCCAGCCCAACATTTTCACCTACGGCTTTCAATATTGCAAATATTTCTTTTATTAATCTCAAATTCCTGTAATTAGGCATATATCGTCTGCGCAAGCACATATTTGCACCATTGCGTTAAGTATGCAACCAGGTGAATCCAGTTTTTTCAATACATTATTAAGTGCAATATCAAATGACGTGGGAGACAAAGCATCCCCTTGCCTAACTCCTTCCGTCATTGAAAAGCTATTGCTTACATTACCTTTAATAACTACTTTTGCATTGCTATTATTCATAGTCATTTGCAATAACCTTATTAATTTTTTTGGAAGTTAGGACTCATGTAAGGCATTTATTAATTTGCTTCTTATCACTCTATCAAAAGTATCACTTCGAATCACTCTATTGCCGGTAATCTACGAACAGCATATGCAAGTCAATCTTATATTCCCAGGCTTTTTGCATTATCTGTCTCATCACAAAGACCTGATCAGTTGTTCCTCTCCCCTTCCAAAATCCACACTGGTTTTCCTCCATTATGTTCTCAGCAAATACGTTGAGCCTCACAGAGAGGATGTTTGAAAAAATTGTATAGGCTACAGCCAATAGAGAAATTCCCCTGTAATTCTGGCATTGGAGTTTATCTCCTTTTTTACATATCGGGCATATAAAACTGCTGTACCACCCCTGAGGTATGATTTCATCACTCCAAACTTCATCCAACAGTAAATGCATTTGGCTTATCAATTCTTCTCCTCCGTACTTAAAGAATTCTTTATTCATTGATGCTACAAAAACAATAGTTATTCCTTTCTTTTTATATGGGTGTCATATTCAAATAATTTAGCAGTATACAAAATAAAAAAATCTTCCTGTAATAATAATAAAAACAACTTTTTTACGAAACTGGCAGCTTATTCTATTAGAAATCTCAACTTACTAAACAAAGCAGTATTTTCAAAATTAGATTAGTTGTAATCTGATAGGAGACTGAAAAAAATAAATAAAAATCAGGAATAATCCTTGATTTTATGAAAAACAGAACCTAGTGTAGTTTGACTACTTAAAAGCCCCTTTAAAATGGTTTTAACAAAGATGAATTATATTTTCATTTGAAAAAAATTTAGTTTAGTTTACTATTAATTGACTGGTAATTACCTCACTTATAAACATTTGTTTATGTATCGGTTTCTATTCAACAAAAATATGATTACTTAACTTTTTCTTTTTATATATTTTATTCAAACGTTTTAGATTTTACTAATGCAATTGGCAAATATAACTTTCATTGTGACAACAAATTTTTTGGCTGTATTTTGTAATATCACTCTTTTTTTACAAATAATAATATAATATCGTGGAATATCACTTTATACTATTGTGAAACTTCAAAAAGAAACAAGAGGTTGTTAAATAATAAATACAATTATAAGATTATTGATATATTAAATTGAAATTTATAATTATTTTATCTTAGGTATGGGTTACCGACAATCAGATCAAAACACTCAGACAAACTAATATTAACTACACTAAACATTGTTTGATTTTAAAATAAAGTCAAGTATGAATCGGCAAGCTAACCTTTTTTCTATAAACACTGTTTCTTCTTTTGTTGTTCTAAATTCATTTGTCTGTTAACATTTTCCTTTGTTCTGCCAAACATATCTTCCAAAATGGGGACAGTTTTTTCTACTTAGCTCAAGCTCCCTGGGAGATCCTCTCTCTTCTTTTTCAAACAACTAGTCTCTCTGCCAAAAAACAGCTTCAAAGATGGTAACACTATTACTGGGTTTTACCCAATGGGTTCAGGATCTCTTCTCCCATCCTCTGTTCACCCCAGCCAAACATCAACTGCCTGCCAAGACAAAATCCTTTGTCAATTCCCATTTGGGGTTTTCCTTTCTGGGATAACTAACTACAGAGCAGCTATTTTCTTTTCCCTAAACTAGTGAAACTAGATTAGCTTGCTTTTTAACTGTTACATTTATTTATTAAATCATTTTTAACAACTTTCAATTAAGGTGTCATCATATGTGGCACGACATCCCGTTACCGAGACTGGGACTCCTCCAAGAGCCTCTGCCAGTTGGCTCTTTCTTCTGCTACAGCTCTCCAGTTCCGTACACCAAGCAGGGTTCTCGCATCATAAGCCACGTTGTCCAACCACCTCGTCCTCGGCCTTCCTACCCGTCTTGCGAGGTGCAGCTCCTCCATCATTATTTTCATGGGTATCTCAACGGTGCTCATTCTGGCCACATGCCCTGCCCACCTTAATCTGGCCAGTTTAATATACGTGACTACGTCGATGTCTGTATAAAGAGAACTGAGCTCCCTATTTTTTCTTTTCCTCCAGACATCACCCTCCTTTACTGGACCATAAATCCTTCTGAGGACTCCTCGCTCAAACACACTCAGCTTCATCTCATCGTTTTTAGTCATTGTCCAAGCCTCTGAGCCATATGTCAAAACAGGCCGTACAAGGGTCTTGTATATGATCAGCTTGGTCTTCTTTGAGAGATACCTACTTCTTAAGTGCTGGCCAAAGACACATCTATTGGCAGCCGTGATCCTTCTCTGTATTTCTTGAGCCATGTCATTTTTGCTATTAATTTCAGACCCAAGGTATACAAAACTTTTCACTCTCTCAAACTTAAAAGAACCTACCTCAAATGGAGAGTTCAGATCCACCTCACCACCAACTCTCATATACTTAGTTTTCATCTTGTTGACTTCTAGACCAAGTGGTCTTGCAGCTGCTTTAAGGCCTATAAACGCTTCTCTGAGAGCCCGTTCAGACCTACCTATTATGTCAAAATCATCAGCAAAACCAAGAAGCTGTGTCAGGCGATTGAAGATTATATCACTGGTCTGAATACCGGAGTCTCTTACAGCTTTCTCCTCTGCCAAGTTGAACAATAGACAGGCGAGGGCATCCCCTTGCCGAACCCCGCTGCTCACTTTAAACTCTTCGGAGGCATCAGAACTGACGCGTATTCTACATCTCCAGCTCTCCATGGTCATCTTGATTAGGCGTACGAGCTTCTGAGGGATGCTTAGCTCCTCCAAGGCACAGTATAGTTGTGTTCTATCAACACTGTCGTATGCTGCTTTAAAGTCCAGGAATAAATGGTGGGTGACTACCTTACGCTCCATAGTCTTTTCTAGGATCATCCTCAGAGAGAACAGTTGATCAGTGGTTGAGCGTCCTCGTCAAAATCCAGCCTGACATTTCCCCAGTTCCTTTTCAGAATACGGGAGGATCTTATCAAAAAGAATGTTAGAGAACAACTTATAAGCACATGAAAGGAGTGAGATTCCTCGATAGTTAGCGCATTCTGTTTGATCTCCTTTCTTATGTATTGGGCAGATAATGGCTGTTGCCCATTCCGCAGGCATAGCTTCCCTCTCCCAGATGGTCAGCATTAAATCATGCAGAGCTTTATTGAGTTCTTCACCTCCACATTTCAACAGCTCTGACTGGATTCCGTCCGGGCCTGGCGCCTTTCTATTTTTCAATTTCCTCAGGGCGTTTTCCATTTCCTCCTCATCCGGGGATTCAATAGTATTCAGGGAGTCTTCCTTCATTACTCCTACTTCTTCAGGCACCGTTCCTCTGTTTAATGCGTCTTTGAAGTGTTGTACCCATCTCCTTAGTACGTCATCTTTGTGGATTAAAAGGTGTATATTCAATTAAGGTGTATATTACAATTTATTCCACCATTTGTATTTATTTTTATTATACTGGCAACGTTTCAGCTTTGTTGGCTATGAATCATTATTTTATCTTATACATAATTTTGTGAACTATCCACTATTATTATATGTGTTTTGGAAAGTGGATTATGGCAACATTGTTTTTGGCGGGAGAACACCAACTCAGTGTAGCTTGGGCAAGCATGGAAGCTAAAGGTGATGTACTTTAAAATATAATTATAAGAATATAAATATATTTTTTTGTAATTAGAGTAACAATGTATTTATAATTAATTCTTACATTATATAAAAGAGTCTGACAAAGTTAAAGACAGTTCTGATAGTAGAAAAATATATATGAAACGCCAACATGTAATGCAATGTGACAAATAAAGTAAATACATTAGTCACAAAAGAAATTATATTTGCCAACCTCATTAGTAATTATTACTTTAAAAACCACAAAACTAAAATTTCTTCAGTGCATTGCAAAAAGTCACCATTAAATTTTTGATTGAGGTAAACTCCTAAGTACATACTTGAGAAATTCAAACAAATTTATTGATTTAAAAACTCGTTAAGTGAACCAAAATAATACAAACTTTATTATACATCAAGAATAGGTAAAACAATGCATTGTGTTTTGATTTCAAAAAGGTTTGATTTATATATATATACTATGCTCCTCTTTGCCTCTTTGGTTTAAGAACACCACAATTTTTTGAGAAATTGCGCTGTATTTTGGAATAAATTACACAATTTGGAAGAATGTTTCAGACCATTATCCTGCTGTATAATAATACTAGAACTGACTATGCAAAGAAAATGCATGGTCCTGCACATTGTTTTAGGACTCTCTTTATTATGAATTGCCATAATTTGTACAAGATCTCCTTACCCAAAGACTGTGAAATTTCCCCCAGATCAGAACTGAACCTTCTCCATGCTTTATAATTGGGACTAAGCATTGGAGAATACATTTTCCTGATGATGATCGACAAAGCATAATCCGGCAATTTGTTCCAAACATCTCAAACTTTGACTCATCTGTTCAAAGGACTTTTCTCCAGTCTTCCATAGTTAAAATTTTACAAAAAAATATCCACTGATATCTTTCTTCTAATTAGCATGTCTTAAAAGTTGTTTTAGGGTATGTACGGATCCCATTAAATCCGCCTTCTAAAGTCTTCATTTTATTATTGCAACAGAAACCAATTTTTTTTTTTTACACTATATAGAGGGGTATACAGTCTTATGTTTTTCTTGCTTTCTACAATAATTAACTTAACTTCTTAGGTAGATGTCACTCTATATTTATATCTGTTCGAGCTTTATAACACATTGTTTATTTACATGAATTGCTATTTGAACTTGGTGATGTTCAAATGATGTATTAGTTCAATATTACAACTTTCTTATTTAACTTATATTATTTCATTACATCTCATTAATACAATTAATAGTAAATATAAATCAACAGTCAGTTATTCTGTAGTTATAGTACAATTAGCGTAAGGTTTTATCTGATTAAATCATTTTATTTAATAAAATAACTGATTGTCCTAAACTTTTGAGCAGCAGTATATGTGTATATTGAGAAATATATTTTTTTTATTTTTTAAAACAAAATAATAAATAAATGAATAATTAAATGATTAAAAAAATATTTGACTAATGAAGAAACAAAATATTATTTCAATAATGCCTCAGTCTTTTTATTTAATATTTTTGTTTTTATGACAGTATGAGTTGAGCAATACAACATTAAAATATAAAGGAAACCAATGGAGTAAGCTAAGGGCTCAGAGAAAATTTGTATTATCGGGAGATCCTGATACACCTGGCGTAGGAACTTATAATTTAATGTACAGACTTCTCACGGAACAGAAGGTCAATAATTCAGTACCTGGTTTTTCAAAGTTGAATAATAAAGGCAAAGAGTTCAATAGTGCAATAAATGAGGTAAGAAAATTTATTTTTATTATTTTGCAAATTACAGACTTATGTAATTATTAGCTGTAATTGTAATGAAGAATAGTGATTTATGCAGGATTTTTAAACTTTTAATCTTCTATAGATTTATTCCACAAGTGTTGCATATTTTAAGTACTTTACAAATGCCATCAATATATATATATATATGATAAGATTATTGAGAGATTTATTGATTGAAAAATAATTGACTGTTATCTATTCGGAAGAAAATTTTGTTATAATTCTCTTTATACTCTTATATTTTTATAATTCCCTTTATATTTTTATACCCATTTTATTTTCTAAATTGTTTTCATGCTTATTCCTTTGAACTTTCTTGTTTTTATTTACATCCCAAATGGTAAATAGAATGGAATTTACATGTGATTTAGTTTCGGTGATTGCCTTTTTTTTATTGGACCTCTCTGCTGCAAATAAGGCCGAGAGTCAGAAACTCCAGCTCATATACTGGACAAATGTGCAAATAACATGCTCTTTGTCACCCGCCGACACAATAATATATAGCATCAAATTGCTGAACTCCAGAGGAAAACAAGTATTGATGTTTCCTTGAAGTATATCGTATAGATACAGAAGACTCAATGAGATTCGTAGATATTTTAGCCTTTAGTGCGAAAGGAAAAGAGGCTGTGATAGATGATCCTTCAATTTGATTTGAAACTAGACCTGGGCACTCTTGAAATAATTTATTTCTGAAATAAATCATATGATTATTTCATGAATGAATTATTTCTAAAATAATGATTATTTTTGAAATAATATTTCAAATTGCTAATGAAATAATCTCGGTGAAATAACTACTAAACTTATTTCAGAAATAATTATTTCGTAATTATTATTTCAGATTTACTTATTACATAAATAAATTATTACGAACAAACATGAAATAATTATTTCCGAAATAACTCTGTACTGAAATAACCTAAAAAATTCACCAATATAACAAATATATAATATTTAAACATATAGTATATTCCCACCCAATCAACCTCTAATCCACTGGTGACAATGACTATAGGGTACATATTTCGCCCAATTTCTACAGGTATCCAGCTCAAATGGGCTGAGTGTACTCGACCATCTTGATATTATATTTATTCAATATATTTTCCCCTGTTATATTATATTTACTCCTGTTTGAGACACTTTAATCATTGTAGAGGCTAAGTGTGCCTGACAGCAATTTAATTTTTTTTAGTGCACTTTTACCTTTTTTACAATTAGATGGACTTGAGGAATTATATTTACTGCTGTTTGAGACACTTTAATCTTTGTTTGAGGCTGTATGCCTGACAAAAATTTCATTTTTTAAGTCCCTTTTCTTTTTTTACAATTAGAGGGACTTGAGGCATTATATTTTCTCCTGTTTGAGACACTTTAACCTTTGTAGGGGCTGAGTGTGCCTGGCAGGAATTACATTTTTTAATGCACTTTTTCGTTTTTTACAATCAGACTGACTTGAGGAATTATATTTACTGCTGTTTGATATAATTTAATCTTTTTAGAGAATGAGTGATCCAAATTACAGTTTCGTTTTTTCTAATGCTCTCTTTAGATTTTTTTTATAGATAGAAAGATTTGAGCCTTGAGTTGAGTAGAGAATAAAAGAAATCCCGGCACATTCAGCCTCTATAAAGACTAAATATCTCAAACAGCAGTAAATATAATGCCTCAAATCCGTCTAATTGTAGGGTATAACACGGAACATAAGAAAAAATGAAATTTCTGTTGGGCACACCTCAGCCTCTATAGAGACTACAGTGTCTCAAATAGTAGTAAATATTATGCCTCATTTCTGTCTAATTGTAAAAAACGAAAAGGGGCAAAAGAAAAAAATTAATTTCTTTCATTCACACTTAGCCTTTACAAAGATTAAAGTGTCTCAAACAGCAGTGAATATAATGTCACAAGTTCGTTTAATTGCTGAGAATAACACGGAACATAAGAAAAAATGAAATTTGTGTTGGACACACCCAGCCTCTATAGAGATTAAAGTGGCTCAAACAGAAGTAAATATAATGCCTCAAGTCATAATTGTAGAATTAAAAAACAGGAGCACAAAGAAAAACAAAATTTAGGGTGAACAATAAGATTTTTATTATGGTTATTTCATTCCCTTTTGCCTGTATCAGAATGATTATTTCGGAGCATTATTTCTGAAATAATCATTTCAAAACATTTCAGAAATAATTACGTCATTAATCATGAATTAATAATTTCAGAACATTATTTCTAAAATAATCATTTCAGAACATTTCAGAAATAATTATGTCATTAATCATGAAATAATAATTTCAGAACATTATTTCTGAAATAATAATTTCAGAACATTATTTCTGAAATAATCATTTCAGAACATTTCAGAAATAATTATTTCCGAAATAACTGAGGAAGGTTATTTAACTGTTCATTTCGGAATTATTATTTCAAATAAATTCTGCCCAGGTCCATTTGAAACCAATAATGAAGATCAAGATTTCAAAATTCAAACAGAAAAAGAGGAGATCAATAACAAATGCATTCCCTAGCTGAGGAAAAATTTAGAGAGGATTTTGGTGAAAGATAATATTTGGTTCGGGAGTATAAGAGCAATTCAACTTTCAACTGCTGAGTTTTTGGAAGGACCGGGTGTGGAAAGGAGCTGTCTAGAGAGTATGGCAGAATCTATTATTTTAGACTCATTAGAAATCCTGCATCATCATCTGCATTAATTCTGACCACTTTGTCATTAACTTTGCGGACAGCTGGAAGAAGAAAGAAATTGTGTAGAAAATTAATATAAAATATATTGAATCAATAAGTTATAGCATTCAGTACTTTGGATGAAGGGGCCTATTTGTTCTCTCTTATTATATATTATCTATTGGGACAGATTGCTATGCTCAGTCATTTAGCAACTCAACATAGTTTAGCAGCTATACAGTATCATTGTACTTTTCTCTGTATTAAAGATAAATATTTTATCATTCATTTATTTTTCATATTATATGTTTAAAACATTATTTTTAAAATTGATTGTTCATGAATACATAATAAAATGGATTCGTATATACCTTCTTTTTTTAATTAAATATTGTGATACAAAATTCAATGTATAAAGATTTTCAAAATTGTGGGTAAATGGTCGACTGTCGTGAATAATGAAGAGAAGAATAGTTGGGGTGTTCAGTCAAATAAGAAGGCAAAAATAAATGATAATATTTTATTATTAATATAAAGATTTTCATATTATTATAATTTATTTTTATAATCTCAATAAAAAATTAGTGAATCAGCATTGAGATTTTAAATTCATTTATTATTCAAAATGAAATAATATAAATAAATGAATAAAAAATATTGAATAATGAATATACAATAAATTATTTGAATAATGCCTATGCCTTCTCCATTGATGTTCTTCGACATATGGTGCCCTCTGGCAATTACATCATGAGCACCCCACTCTCCTCCCCACTCTGCTCCCCACAAAAATAAAGATATGGTTTGGTGGAGGAAATGAGATGCATTTCAAAAACCTTGTATATTACCTTATATTTAGAATGTGTTTCTTTTAATATTCATCTAATTTATTTGGGACATTGAACCATTGAAATTGTTTAAGGATAATTATGGATTTCCATGTGATCTAAGATATGAATATTTCAGGAGAGGTGTTGATCAAAAGTAACTCCAAGAATTTTTCACAACCAGAAGAAAATTATTGGGTTGATTATTCTTTAAATTATTATTGATTATTTCTTTAAATTTTAAGTTAAAGTAAGGAACGCAAATTTGATAAGAATTTACGAAGGTTGTGAACTAAGGAAAACGCTGATGATGTCCTAAATTTTCACCACTTAGCCTCAGTTCATTCTTTACAGCCCATTTGTTGATACTGATATATTCTAGTAGCTTTTGGATTTCCTCAAGCATCTCAGTAGGATAGGATTGATGAATTTGAATATGATTTGCATATAAGCAGTTATGTGAGTGGTGGATGGAATCTGGAAGTTTATAATTATAAATAGAGAAAATGGCTGGTGAAATTGATTAACTCTGAGTTTATGTTGGTCAAATGGAAGACGAAAAAGATTTATTAAGAAATATAACTGTTATGGAATGATGATATACGAATAAGATGATATAAAAAATCACTTTAAAATGCTATTTGATAAGGGTAAGTTTTGAAGTTTGGAAAGTAGGATTTTATGATTAGGGGAATCAAACAATTTTAAATAGTTGAATAGGACTAGGATAGAAATTTTCAGTTTTTCAATGAAATTTTGAAGGTCTTGGGTAATTTTCATGTGAGCCGATTGGGTGAAATATTGAGGTCAGAAATTGAATTGTTAAGGATTGAAGAGACAATTATGCTCAAGAAAGTTATACCCTTTGGTTCTTTTCTTCGCAGATTTTAATTTCTTTAAATTTTAATATAATAATTTGGGCTTTTAAGTTACTAATTTCCAATAATAATTTTTCACATCTAACATTTTGGTTCTTTTCTTCATGGGCTTTTATTTCTTTAAATTTTTAAAGATTATATATTTGTAAACATTCTTTGTAATTTTATTATAATTTATAGTTTAGTATTGTTATTATACAATAAATGATTGACACTACAAATTAATTATTTAATTTCATTATTCTGCTATTACTTTTATTTTGATTTATCTCAGAAATACTTATTTGAAACCTCTTCATCATTGGTTAATATTTTCTTTGTTTGTTCCATTTTATTATGATTTTGTCATTATCTTTATTTTATGAAAGACCACTTGTTTATTGCATTTATGACCAATATTTTTTTTTGTTGCATATCTTAGCTATTAAGAGAATGCATTCTCAATTAAATGCATCTTATAAACGTTTAGATTAACTGCATTTAGATTTAGAACAAGTTTATCAATAAATAATGTTAATGAATATTGATGTTTAAAATATATCTTTGTAGCCTTCATTTCTTTGATTCTAGGACATACCTGGTCCGTGTACCTATGAAATAGATTATGAACCAATCTTTGGTCTACGTTCTTATAATGTGAGAGGAACTTTTCCAAGGGCTGAGGTAATTCATTATGTTTCTCTTTTCTTAATGCACTTATTGTTTTTTGTTTATGTTTTATAGTGTTTTCTTTATTTTGATTTCGTTATCATGATTATATACATTTATTTTTTTCTTTTTCATTGTATTCATATTGTATTCAAACTTGAGCATAATATAATAGTGCAAATTTTCATAACTTTAAATATTGATTTGGTACATTGATTATTATATTGACATCCTCTTTCCATTTGTTCAATCTAAAATATGAGAGTTAACTGTATTTTGAAATTGTTTGATTATTTTTTTTTAATCAGTAGTTAATTTTTAGCTTTATTTTTTTATTCATATCTTCTATAGCTTTTATTATAAATCAATATTCTGAAATAAGTAAGAAATGTGAGATGGTTGATGTTAGAGTAGTGTAAGTCAATTAATCTTTATTTTGAATAGCAAAAGGTTTTGTCAGAACCATTGTGACAAATGTTTGCACGAAAAGTCCAACTTTAGCCTAAGCCTAAGGGTGCTTACTTTTTCCGCCATGGATTTCTCTTCCCTGGCCCGTATTTAGCCTAAAAACATGCACTCACTTGTATAGACTGACTCCACTCCAGCCTTTTGTAAAAGCAAATTTGGCTAAATAGGTAGCGAGTCTGCGAACTAAGCCGCACAGTGGTCCCAAACTCGATTATTTTGGTCATAATTCTATAACTACATTATTTTTCATCAAATTTCATGGTTTCCCCATTTTATTTCATCATTACTAAGTGCACTCCATTATCTGTGCAAGGAATATAAAATATTATCAGAAATAATAAAGATAACTTATTAGAAAATACAATTATTTTTCTTTCGAGCATTGAAAATTCTTGTTTCAACTTTTAAACTTCTTTTCCTTGAACTAGTAGAACCATTCAATATCAACCCATTAGACCATTTCTACCAACCTTCAATAAAGGTGTATATTACAATATATATATATATATATACCTTTGTACATACAGAAATCTGAAAGATTTTATGTCATTGGAGTAATGCTATCTTTTAAGGAGCATAATTTTTGTTTAAGTACTTTGTGTTTACCTCTTAAGTATTTTGACATTGCTTAAGAGGGAGAGATTTGGAAAATCCAAGTCCTGTCAGGCGATTTGTGTATGTTTGTGTGTGTGAGTGATGTGTCTGTGATCTTATCAATGAGGATAAGACCCAGATGATAATAAAGATCATTTAATCATACATTGATATAATAATTATTATTATTAAATGGCACTACATCCCAATTATTCTAGACTTGGCCTGCTCCAGCATGGATCTCCAGTTCTCCTGGTTAGTTGCTGCAGCCTTCCAATTTCTGACACCAAGTAGTCTACATGCATCAGCAGCCACACAGTCTTGCCAGCACAAACATGGTCTTCCCACTTGTCTGTTTTCAAACACAGGCTCATTCATAGCTCTCTGTGGGGGTGCATTCATATAGGTATGCGCGACATGTCCTGCCCAGCGTAGTCTTGCCAGTACGATGAATTGGCTCACATCCAGGTCATTAAATAATATCTTTATTTCTAAATTCGTTCTCCTCCTCCAATTCTGTGGTGTTTCCTGGACCCCTCCAAATATGCGTCGTATAATCCTCCTTTCAAATCTGAACAGGGATTTCTCAACTGCTTTAGTTAAGGTCCAATTCTCACAGCCATATGTGAGCACTGGTCTAATAAGAGTTTTATGTATTCTTATTTTGGCCTGTCTTGACAACATTCTACTGTGAAGATGTCTCTGGAGGGAGAAATAGCACCGATTAGCCACTGTGATCCTCCTGTCTATCTCACAATCAATGTTATTTCGTGCATTTATCAATGAACCAAGATATACGAATTCGTCAACATTCTCAATTCCACGCTATTCCAGCCATTCTTGGTTTTCCCTTGTTAGACGTGAGAATGGGTGGACATATAATTTGTTTTGGAATATATTTGTTCGGCGTTAGTAATAAGACCTATTTTGGCTGCCGACTCTTCCAGGCTTGTAAAAGCTTCTTGTACTGCCACAAACGATCTTCCGATTATATCAATATTATCCGCTTATCCAGGTCATTCGATTTAGGAGGGTTCCTGTAGTCTGGATACCAGAATCTCTTATGACTTTTTCAACGGTAAAGTTGAATACCAGACATGTCCTGCCTTACACCTGTCGATGTTCTAAACCTCCTTGACAAGTCACCTTGCACTTGTACGAAACATTCATGACCCTCCATTGTCATTCTAACAAGCCTTACAACTTTTCTAGGTACATTCATTTCTATCATTGCTTTGTATGCTTCCTGACGATTTATGAAATCATATGCTTGCTATTTGATATTCTTTGGTTTTCTCCAGAAGGATTCGCAAGGTGAATATTTGATCGATGGTTGATTTACCCTTAATGAATCCGGTCTGGTATTTTCCGATTTCAGCCTCGGCATAAGAAATTTTTCTTCTATAAGGAATCCTTGAATAAATTTTATAGGCGGTGGATAGAAGGCATATGCCCCTGTAATTATTACATTGATAGACGTCCCCTTTTTTGTACACTGGGCATATAATGGATTTTTTCCAATCACTTGGAAGCTCTTCATAAACCCAAATGGCATGAAACATTTCTTGGAGGAGTTTTATGAGCTATTGACTACCATGTTTATAGAACTCTGCAGGGATATTATCAATGCCTGGACTCTATTTTTTTTCAGTCCTTCTATGGCTTCATTGATTTCTTCCTCGTCTTCACCACCTGCAATTGGATCATTTGATCTGTCGTAGGTCTTCCTTTTCGGAATCCAGATTGATACTTTCCGAGCTCTTGTTTGGCAAAAGGAACCAGTCTATTGAAGAGTATGATGGATAGAATTTTGTATGCGGTGGGAAGGAGAGAGATGCCTCTGTAGTTATTACATACCGATACATCCCCTTTCTTATGAATGGGGCAAATCACCATTTTGTTCCATTGAGCAGGTAGTCTTTCTTCCCCCCATATATCAATCAATAACTCTTATAGGAATTTTATTATTTCACCCCACTACGTTTAAAGAGCTCAGCTGGGATATTATCGATTCCTGGAGCCTTGTTATTCTTTAATTTCCCAATTGCATCATGTATTTCCTCTTCATCTGGGGGCTCTATAAATACCTCATCTTCCCATTCCAGGAAGTCACTTGGGAGTGTATTTTCTTGACATACTCTATTTAATAGATTTTGGAAGTGGTTTGCCCATACTTCCATGATTGCAGCTTCCTCTGTGACCAGCGTGCCATCGTTTTCCCTACAGGCATAATTCAGGGAATGGAATCCTGTGCGGTCTTTATTAATCATTTGAAAGAATGCCCTACTACTTTTTTCATTGAAAGCAACTTGTATGTCAGCAAGCCTCTTGATTTCCCACTGTCGCTTCTTCCGTCTCTGTGTGTGAGTTTCTCTCCTTCTTCTTGCACGGTACTCCTCTACATATCTTCTGGTGTGTTTCCTCTGGATCATAGTTCTGTATGCCTGATTTTTTTCCTCATTTAGTATCCTTCACTGTTCATCGAACCATGGCTTTCTCCTTTGCTTTTCCTGGATCCCAATTACTTCCTTTGCTACCTCAGTCATAGCTGTTTCACACTGTTTCCATTGATTATCAATGGTTGGATTACGGTCAATGGTCCTAATCTGTGTATCCGTTGCAGCAGTGAACCTTGTCTGAATCTCTTCGCTTTTGAGCTTGGATGTGTCAAACCGAAACACAGGAGCACCATTCTGTCTTCTTGCCCTTGAGATCTGTACTCTAACTTTAGAGGTTATGAGATAGTGGTCCCCGAGTCCACATTAGCTCCTTTGTATCATCTCACATCCATCACCGAAGACCTATGTCTGGTACTAATGAGCACATGATCAATTTCTGAAGTTGAGATTCTACCATTAGCTCCAAATTTTCTACACGTAGCCAGATGCATTTTCTTGTGAGGGAAACATGTGCTACAATGCAAAGACCTTTTGAGGCCGCAAAATTTATGAGTCTCTTCCCATTGTCACTGGAAATATCATGTAGGCTATGGAGACCTATTGTTGGTCGATATGCAGGTTCTTTGCCTACTTGTGCATTATAATCACCTAGCACAATCTTCATGTCATATCTGGGACTGCTTTCGACACACTTTTCATGCTCTTTCAAGGCATCTTTAACATCCTCTTCTGACACTTCTGTAGGTGCATGGACACATATTGTAGAATTTCCCCTTAAGTCGGAGCATGCAGAGTCTAAGACTTATCGGTTTAAAAACAATCACATTCTGAGATAGTCTTTTGTTAACGACAAAACCAATCTCGAATGTGTGGAGGAGGTCATCACAGCTATAGTATACAGTGTGGTTTCCTTTCGTTAGGCTGCCCTGCCCGGTCCACCTGATTTCCTGAACGGCAGCTATGTCTATTTTATAGTTTTCAAGGATATTTAGAAGCACTTGTAGTGCTCCAGGTCTATAAAATGTTAAAATATTCCATGAGGCGATCATATATTCCGATTGACGTTTCCTGGTTTGGTTTCCGTATATCAGTCCGGCTAATCCTTTCTGAGCTTTGTAGATAAGATAATTTAAAGGGAATAGGATATCAGCCCATTTCCCCTGAGTCAGGTGGAGGGGCTGCTTCCTCAAAGTGCCCTGACACACTTCCCCATCCGGGTTCGGCTACCTAGGGAAGGTGACCCTAGAGTGTGTACTGTTTATGACCTTCAATTATGATGTGAGTGAGTGTGTGGTAGTCTGCTGTATAGAGTATATATGTGTGAGCGTCAGTGTACTGTTCCCCCAACCTGGAGGGCCAGAGGCTATCTGCGGTACTATGACCGGGCGATGGGGCCGCCACCTCCCTATGCCTAGTCGAAAGTTTGTGCTACGTCCAAAAAGGCACTAGTGCAATATTACTTGTATTCATGCACAGAGGATATATGGTCTTGTTGAACAGTGGAATGTCTTGAGCGGAATCCAAACTGATGGGAGGGGATATTGTGGATTTCGAGATTGGGTAGGATACGTTCGAGAAGGATTTTTCAAAGATTTTTGAGAGGATCAGAAGTAAGCTTATTGGTTTATAGGATGAGATATTATTAACAGGTTTACCTGGTTTAGAGGATAATAATGGAGTGTTTCCATATCAGAGGAAAGTGAGTTGTGCGGAGGGTACAGTTATACATGTATGTGAGGAATATGATTGCTTTTTTGGGAAGTTGTCTAAGGATCTGAGAAGTAAGGAGATTGTGTCCAGGGGATTTTCGAGGTTTCAAGTTGTTTATAAGGAATTCGACCTCAGATGGATTGACAGCTTTAGGAGGCAAGGAGAGAGGAATCAAAGAAAAGAGCAGTTCTTTAACTTCAGCAGTGTGGGTGGGATGAAGTTCAGTGTGGGGAGTGAATGTGTTGGATAGGTGTTTGGCAAATTCTTCAGCCCTAGTCTCATCTAACAAAGCTCAGGTTCCATCATCTCCTCGGAGTGGGTGGGAAATAGATTGGTATTTAAGGATTTTTTTGTTCACTTTCCAGAGGGAGTTGTCATCGGTAGAGAGGGAAGAAAGGTAGGAATTGTAGGATTGGGATCTAAAGGTAGCCAGTTCTTTTTTAACCTGTATGGAATAGTAATTGTATAATTTCCGATCATCAGGATGCCTAATTCTTTGCCAGAGGGTCCTAGATTGGCGTTTGGATTTAATAATGTCAGTAGGGTTTTGGAGCAAGAGATTCTTTTTAAGGGATTTTTTGGAGAGGAGTGGTGAGGATGCAGTCCAGACTGGTTGTTGGATCAAGGTGTTGAAGGAACTCACTGCATTATCTAGGTCTTGAGGGGTTTTTAGGGATACTTTTAGGTCTATTGCATCTGTTATTGTTTGGCGGAAAAGGTTCCAGTTGACTGGGCCTCTGATGAATGAGGGAGGAGATAATTTGGGGATAGCAGATGTGGAAAGGGTCAGGTTTAGCGGACTATGGTCTGAGGAAAGGTCATCGAGCCATGAAATTGAGAAATTTAGCGGCCCTAGACCTTTGTGAATGAAGAAGTCAAGGAGGTCAGGATTACAATTAGGATCTGTTAGCCAGTATGTAGGAGTATCAGGGGAAATGATGTTGCTATTATGGGAATTAAGAGCAGACAGCAATGTTCGCCAACGGGAATTCGTGGTTCTGGCTCCCCATTGCTGATGTTTTGCATTAAGATCTGCATCTATAAGGAAATGGTGTCCCAAGGAATTAAGAAAAGAAATTAAGTTAGGTTCAGGTATTGCTAGCTTAGGTGGAGAATATGCTGCAACAACTATAACAGGAAAGAGTGAGTTTTGGATTGTTGTTGCTGAGGTTTGTAGGAAATTATGAGCTGGTAGAGGATACAAGTGATGAGAGAGGGATTGATATATGATGACAGCAGTGTCTGCATGTCCTGTTCCATCGGGGTGGTCAGTTCGATAAATCTTGTAGCCAAGTATGCTCAACTGTCGTTTGTTAGTTAGTCGGGTCTCAGTAATTAGGGCTATGTCAATGTTATTGTCCTGTAGAAAAAAGATTAGTTCGTTGATGTGGTTTCGAACACCATTCACATTCCAGAGGAGAATGGAGATGGGTTTTATTGAGGACATTTAAGGAATTCTTTAATTCCTTAATTTCACATTAAAGTGGGATATGATTGGATATGACATTTGTAAGTAAGGAGATGAGCAGAATGATAAAAGATCTGAATTCTGAAAGAAATGATGTAAGGAGACTGGTGAGGTCATTCGAATTGTTAGGAGGAGGAACATAAGAGATTTGATGAGGACTGGAATTTTGGGTGTTATTATATTGGGATGGTGGATCATGAGGTTGTTGATGAGTTTGCAGCAGGGCCTGAGATTGATTTGTCTGTTCAGTCTCTCCTAGCATTTCAGCAAAAGACACTTCTTTGTTATAGAGTTGCCTTGGTGGTCTGGGAGTCCTGAAGAGGTCTCTTCCTGTCTGAGTGTTGTCTGTGTTCTTGATTTCAGTATTTTATACGTTTGACATCCCTTGTAGTTTGCTAGGTGGTTTTGGTGGCATAGTGTGCACACAGCAGGAGTTTGTCCAGACTTGGTGCAGTCCTCAGAACTGTACTATTGTCCGCACTTCACACATCGAGGTAAGCGATGGAAGTAGCTTCTTGTATGGCCATAGGTTTGACAATTATGGCATTGTAATATCTCTCTTTTATTGTATGGTTTTTCAACCACTATACTAGTATAATACAAACGATTAATTCTGTAAATATTTTCGACCCCTGGAGTGCGCTCTAGGTCTACAAAAAATAGTGGTAGTGCTATTTTGTTATTTATGCCTGGTAGCTCTTTATTTTGTTTATAAACGTTGGTGATTTGGCGGACATTGAAGCCTAAAGCCATCAATTCTTCTTTGATTTCATCAGGTGGAGTTGGGTGGAGACCTCTTATCACTACCCTCAGTGCTCTCTCTTCATATAACTAATACCTGTGAAATTCAACCTTTGATTCTATTAAGTATTTCACAATTTTTCTGTATGTATCCGGAGAGTCCAGCATTAATTTGGTGTCATTGGTTCTACTATGGCATACGTATTTACCGTTGTAAATTATTTTATTGAGATGCTGACAGAATAAAGGGAAATTTTTAATATTTCCAACAAATATTGGAGGTTGTTTTGGCTTTCTAGGGGTTGGTGCTGTTTCCATTATATCTTCTGACGATAATATCTGGTATGGGTTGGTGGTGAACAGAGATTTGTCTGTTATTTGTGTTGAAGAACCAGATTGTGGATCATTAATGGTTTCAGTAAGTCTGTCAGGTGTGTATGGTGATGTTTTCCTATTGGAACGCCTTGATGTTTGCTTAACAGGTGAGCTTTGAGAGGTGTTATTGCATAAACTTCTCGATCTTTTACTTTTGTTAAGCATTATCATGTGATATTATCTCATTTAAATAATCTGGCTGAAAAAGTAAAATAGTTCGATGTGAAAATAATTACTTAGACCGGTGGAGTGCCGAGTGATGTGACCCTACTCCTCCGGCAGCTGCCCGGCCACTGAGTGAGGAGAGAGGAGACTGCTTATAGATAACAATATAATAGTTAACCTCTCCACCTGAATCTATTATTGTTACCACTGTTCATTAAACTTGATAAATAAGTGATTACTCACTTTGTTGTGTTCATTTGATGAGCGAATTGTTAATTGTTCAAATGACACTGTGTCTAATCACTACAGTTCACTAATTCACTTGTATTTTAATAACTTGTGAGAGATGAAGTAACAGGTGGTTTGTAATAGATTAGCGCGTGCACAGAACTCAAGGAAATAATAAACCCAAATATTTCCCCCTACCATTTGTTCATAATTTTTCCATTAATTTCCACATATTTATGGTATTATAAGGAAATAAAACAATACTAAATTGCACAAATCTAACTTTACTAGGTTAATCTAAATTTGAAATATTGGACAAGCAATAAAAGTAAGTCTGCAATGGCAATCCTTGGGAAAGATCCTTAATTTTTTATCATTAATTAATTTTTTTACTGTAATCTTTTCCAATGAATTTCCTTCTCTTCTACTGAATCCAAGTAAATCATCATTACTGTTCAAGGGTGGCAATTCTTAAAATATGAAAACAGACACTTTTCAGATATTTTCTTACTTTTTATTCCAATAAACTAGAAAAATACTTTTTTAAATGTCTTACCTTTGGGGTGGAGGGAGTGTGACATAAATGTTTTTAACATTTATAACATCTTCCACTTTTAACATCATAATGATTATTAGTAGAATATTTTTGAGGAAAATCAATGAATAGATGATGTGTGAACATTTTATTCTGATATAATCTCTTTCTACCTCATAATTGGTAATTGGTTGACTGTCGTGGATAATGAAGAGAAGAATAGTTGGGGTGCTCAGTCAAAAAGGAAGGCAAAAAATAAATTATAATATTTATTTTTTACATATGCTGACGTTTCGACCTGAAGTTCAGGTCTCTTTCTACCTCTATTGTTGAAGGTTGAAAATTTAATCTATTATTGTTTTGCCTGTCTTAAAGCAAGCTTAGTATTTTCTACTCCATGGTTAAAAAAAATAATTCAATAAAAGATGATATCACAAAATGTTTGATAATAGTATCTTACCTACATAATACAGAAAGCACTTAAATGAAAAAAGAAAATGAAATTTTCCAAAAAAAAAAAAAAATTGTTTAGTACAAAATTTTTACCTTTTCCAAACTAAATAAAATTTGAATGTCAATTTTGCTTTCTTATAATAATTCATAGCTTTCCTGTTTACAAATGAAATAATAGAAAATAAAAAGAAGTATTTTGCAGAGATTTACAAAAGAAAAGGTTACGGTAATGCAACAACCATTGAATTTATTTCCACCTCCTACCATAACTTCAAATCAGAAAAAGTGGCCCCCATTTAATTCTAGCTCAAATGCAAGACCTAAATTTGAAGAAATTGGAACAAGTATGCATGTCTACATGCTTTGTTTTCAGATAATTTTAATTATTTTACTTAATATTTCTTAATTATTTTTTAGGTCCAGCTGGGAACTTTGTTTATTATGATTCTATAATATTTAAGGCAGTGAAGAAGTTACTAGATATACATATTGTTACACCATTTGGTAGTACATCAAAAAGAACTTCTGCATTTACTTCTAATGATTACCCTGGCCCAGGAACATATGATCTCTTTGTATGTTTACACACTTTTTTTACTGCTTTAAAATCTTCAAATTGATAGTATTTTTGGTTGATAATAATTCAATTGTTACGATAACACTTATCTGATTAAAAAAAAAGAGATGATTTATGGTGACATGTGGTAAAAAAAAAAGTATATGAAATAGTATAAAATGTTTATTGAACCTATGTTTTGACCTACTTTGCAAGTTTTGATCAGGGCTAAAGTAGACTAAATACAAAACAATGTAGAAGACTGTACATTGTTTATTCTTAAAATATTCTGTTAAAATATTTTACTCTTAAAATATTCATTATTTTGTATCTTGGTAATTTTAGTGCTGATGAAGATCTGTAAAGTGGACTAAAATATAAGTTTCAATAAACAGTTAACACAATTTGAACTTATTTGTTTACTACTATCCCAGAACATTTCTTTCTTCACTGTATGTGCATTGAACTATTAAATGCTCTATAGTTTTTAGATTCTTAAATAGTGTTTCTTCAACATTTTTTGCCTTGGCACTCTTGTCAGACCAAAAAATTGTTTGCTGCACCCTTGCCATGCTAAAAAACATTGTGTAACACAGACATTAAAGTAGATATATAATAGAATATTTCTTAATTTTGGTGCACTATAAATAAACCAAATAAAATTAATGTTAAATCAAATTTGAATGATTTTGTTAAAATAATTATAAAATTATGAATTGTTAGAATGTCTTTTCACCAAATCCATAATTTTTTACATTAAATATTATTGCAGTGGTATAAGATCCTAGGGTGCCACATTTTAGGATATTAACTATTATTTATATTAGGATACTTATAAAAGGATCCAAGTTTCCTCTTTTATTTATCTATGTTATGTTTTTTAAACTAAAATATCCCTTCTGGTTTCAACACCTTTATGATAGTGCAATACATTTTATTTGTGCCCCCATATGTATATGCACTAATGAAAATATCTTTAATATTACCATGTAACTTTTAATACTATACTACATGTAACCTAATATGATTATTGCATTGATATATATATATATATATATATATATATATATATATATATATATATATATATATATATATATATATATATATATATATATATATATATATATATATATATATATATATATATGTCCCAAAGAGGTTGAGATTGAAATATACCTTGAAAGTATTATGTTTTAAAACACAGTAAATCTCATGATACCTAATGGAAGCATTGGAATAAATAGATACCATGAAGATGATTCTCTATAAAACAATACATTATTTTCTTCAGTTCCATTTTAAGTTCATCAGAACTATAATATATACCCAGTAGTTATAGCAAAATATTGGTCAAATTGGAGAGATTGCCTTTGGAGGCATGAAGTTGTTTAAGAGATTGTAATGAATTTTTTATTGATCTTGGAAAATTAGGAGATGGCTTTGAAGATCTTTACATTCAGTTACAATTTATTTTCAAATGCCACCTTAGCTGATGCTATTAATTTCATTCTGTAGCTTTCGGATTACCTTAAGCATGCTACTGGAGATGGAAAGATATATTAATTAAGTCATCTGTATATTTAAGTGCTGGATAGAACCAGGTAGATCATGTATATGGTTGAAGAAAAGAGTTTCTGTGGGTAAAATGGAGAGAAAAGGATTACAGTTTATCAGAAATGACAATTGTTTAAGATTTGAGAAGCCAGTAGAAGTGGAACCACTTTAAAACTAGAATATTTTAGCTGTAAATTTGCAATCCTACTGTTCTTTTTCTGCTATAAGACTCTATTTCTAAATTAATGTTTTGACTGAATGGTCTTATCTAATCTGATCTTCTTTTTTTTACAACTTTTTTTTTTTAAATTACAGTAAGAGAATATTTTTCAACCATTCCAGGACCGAAAACTATTAAAAAAGTTTCTTAAATCTCAATTTCACTTTGGGATATTTTCTCTGCCTTTGCCGCACTGTGCCCCATGATTCTGATTTTCAGAACAGTTGATAGAAATTTCAATTATAACTGTTTGCGTTCTTTACAATATTTTTTAAACTTATTTATTTAAAATTATTGTAAAACAAGAATTATATATAATAAAAATTATCATCCTGGGGGTTTCCTTGACATCAGTCAAGTTTTTGATAAGTTATGGCATGAAGGATCGCTTTCGAAACTCAAAATTGATTTCTCTCGAATTACTATTTAATATTATTTTCTTACTTTACAATAAAAATAGGCAACATACTATCCACCATAAAAAATGTTATCAGAAGTTCCACATACAGTGTACAGAGACTATTACTTTTCAACATTTTCACAACAAACTTACCGGAACATGACCAGACTACTTGCAACTATTGCCGACAATATTACACTACTTACAGCTCACAAAAACCAAATTATTGTATCTATTTTTATAAAGGACCAAATTGATGATATTTTAATTGGACTACCAGATAGAAAGTAAAAATGAACTAGTCGAAGAGTATATTTATTGTTTTTACACTAAATCATGGTACATACCCAAAAGTTCTCTTCAATAATATTCCTATCCCTACTTCGGAAGAATTGTACTATTTAGGACTTTACCTGGACAAGAGACTGACATGTAGAACTCATACTACACTGAAAAGAAAACAACTTAACAAATGATTTGGACTGTTATACAGGCTACTTGGCAGCCATCAGGGGTGACCATCCCCCATAAGGTCCATGGTGCTAGAATCTACTCCCTCCCTCCTCCTCCCAGGATATTTTATTGCTCACCTTTTCTTAGAAACAGCAATCTAAGGTATAATTAGAAAAAGGTATATAATTTCATTAGCTGTGGCCTGTTTCATATTTCCACTTGTCCCTCAGTCCAAAATTCACAACTCTGTTGAAATTTGCACCCCTCAAAAATTCAAAATATGGCTCCCTCAAAAATTGTAATGGCACAACATGTGCCATGAAACCCCCTTCTGGACACCCCTGGCAGGCATTAATTTTAAATTGCAAACACACTTTTATATCTGACAAATGACTTGTTACACAACAACTTGGAGATCTAAACGGTTTGAGATACTGCTATACAAATTAACACCAGAGACTGACTTACAACATGAACACATTAGTCAATTATCACCTTCATTCCTCTACGATCCCCTACACCCCATCCTGATAACTTAATGCAGTGGCCAAGAAACTTTCTAACTTATCCCCTATCTGCAAGTATACAGATTTGCTTATTTGCTTATTAAAAATACTTTGCAGACAGCAAATTCTAACCGTAAAAGATTAAATAATTATATCAATAAAAAATATATTTATATTTAATCAATATATGATTAAGGTTTTATAAAAAAAAAACTTTTAATCTCATACATTTTTATCTTATTATTAAATCATCTTTTTAACAAGAATTATTATCATAAATGAAAAGTTATATTTAGTTAAACAATTACAGCCCTTTGAGTAGTATACTATATATACATTTATATCTAAAAGTTCTATAAATAATGTTTTTATGACTAATGTTATTTTGTTTTTGAAAGAAAAATTTTTGAAAATGGCTTTTTAGAGGCCAAACGTAAAATAATAATTCTTTTTAAAAAGTTGATTTAATTATAAAATAACTATGCATGAGATTAATTTTTTTTTTTATGTGTAAACTTACTCATATATTACTTAAATATAATAATTATATAAAAATCACACACACAAAAATTAATAACCTAACAAGGTTTTTTATCATAAAAAAGTAACTATTTATAATAAATAAATAATATTTTTTTCGGAATTTTTGAGTATAAATTAGTTTCCTTTATTAATGTGAACAAGAAAATGTTTTATATTGAATATTAAAAAGTACTTTTTTAAAAAAATAATATCTTTCCTTATCATTTTCCACCATAAGAGATCTTACAGTCCATTACTATTTCAATTTGGACAGCATCATATCTGTTATGTTCAAGAAGCGAGAGCATACATTTAAATGAGCTGAATTCTAGAGTGGAGATTTCTGCCACTCCTATTCTATGCAGATATTTCAAAAGGTAATCATGTTCTGCCATGTAAATAGCTTGTTTTCTCACCAGATCAATTTGTTCTCGGCAACACGTATCAGTCAGCAATCACCTCGAATACTTCTTAAAAGTATTGCTCTTTCTTAATTCTAGTTGTAGATTTTGATTTTCTTCATTACCTCATTACCTACAATTGCTCTATGGAACAATAGCTGGTTTTCTGGCCGCTTCCATGTCGATCCTTCCTTGGTGAATTTATTTGCCATTCAATTACTTCAAAGTGACTTGGTATACATTGGACATGGATACATCTAGGGTACACATCCCTTTCTTCCCTGAAGAAGTACATCCAAAAATATTATGGCACTTCAAAATATTCCAAGCATAGAGCCATGGTACAGCAAGAACAGATACCTATGAATCTACAAAAAATACAATGTTTTGGACATTGATGTTTGACAAGGCTTCAATGCAATAGAATTACGTTTATTTCTCTGTCAAAATTTGAGATCCATTTCCCAACTGGCTTCAAAATAATAATAAGCCCTAATACATACATAAGTTTTATTTAACAAAATGTACTAAATATATATATTTTTTCTTATCACCTCACATTTAGTTTAATGACTGGTTTATATAAATATGTTGTAATATTTTTCAGGATAAACCTAAAAAGACTATTTATGGAGTACGTGATAGAAATAACTATATTCCTCCAGTCAAATTGACACCATTGCGGGATCTTGTTGAGGTATTTTATCAGATGCTTTATGTTCATTTAATAATTTTTGTTAACAGTTCTCAAAGTATGTTTTGTGATGAATATGTACCTAGCTTTGTTTATATAAAATTTTAAGATTTTTTTTACACAATTAAAATTAATTTCATGTAGGAGCTATGCCATCTATCTATCTCGGCACTACAACTCGATGACGAGTGTTGGCCTCCTCCACCTGCTTTTGGTTTCCTCCAGTCATCTCTGTTCTGTTCAGCCATCATCCAGCTCCTGACTCCCAGGATATCCCTTGCATCTCTTGTCACACTATCTGATCATTTCAGTCTTCCCCTTCTTCTAATGCTGCAGAGAAGTTCGGTCAGAACCATTTTAGGGATTGCTTCATCCTTCTTTCTAGCCATGTGACCAGCCCATCTTAATCTTTTAAGTTTATTCTCAGAACAAAATCTTCTTCATTAAAAATTAAGTTAATTTTGATGTTTGCTCGCCTTCTCCTGTTCCCATCGATATGTATTCATCCAAATATTCTTCAAAGAAATTTCCTATCAAAGACTAAGAGGTCTTAGTCGATTTTATTATTAATGTCTTGTAAAGATGGGGCTTGGTCATCCACGATAGAAGGTGGGAGATGAATTCCTTGTGAAGGCAAAAATAACATTTGTCCATCAATATTCTTCTCTTGACCTCAATCTCAGGTGCATTATCTTGAGTCACCAATGACCCAAAATACGGGGACTGGACCACTTTCTGAAAGTTATAGGGACCAATATTGATGGCTTTGCCAGGTCGGGGTCTACTCCTGTTGTGGCCATATACTTTGTTTTGTCTTCATTAATCTTTAACCCATGTGCTCATGCAGCCTCCAATAGATCTAAAACTTCCTCTTTGAAAAACTGAAATGGCTGCTCTATGATGTCCACAACATCTGTAAAGGCTAACAGCTAGATCATCCGATTGTTTGACTTGGGCTTCTCAAGTCCTTTTCTGGAGGAGAGCTCTTCTGTTTTTTGTCTATAAACATGCTCAGCACACTTCACACTCAAACTGCTCAGTACACTGATCAACTTTACCAGTTGTCTTAGCTTATCTTTGATTTTGAACATTTCAAGTGCCTTGTACAGTTATTTCCAGTTAATGCTGTTGTAAACTGTTTTGAAATTTACATAAAGATGATGGGTTTTAGTTTGATATTCGTTTCCTCTGTCAAGGATTTTTCCGAGGCAAATATTTGATCTGTTGGAGTTATTCCGTGATCAAGCTTATGCTCTGCAAAGGTTATGAGATACTTAAACAGGCTATTTATTAAAATCTTTTATCCACAAGAAAGAATAAAGATATTTCTGTAATTTTGATACCAGAGTTTGAAACCTTTTTTGTAGATAGGACATATGATTGACTTTTCAGTATTCTGGCAAAACCTCTTCTTCCCAGATGGTTAAGATAAGATTCTGGACCTATTCATTAGCTCCTCATGTCTGTTCTTGAAGAGTTCAGCAGGCATGTCATCAATTTTAGGTGCTTAATTATTCTTTAACTGATCAATGGCATCCATTATTTCTTCATTATCAGGTCTATCAAGGTTAGATTCCTGGTTCCTGACTGTAAAGTCCCTCGTGTCAGATCCAGTTTATGATTCACTGGGGGCTGAGGTGAGTAGCTCCTCTAAGTGGCTTTACCATTGCAACAGGACTTAACCCCTGCAGGTCACTATATTCTACATTTGTTCGGGGGCTTCTCTGTTTACTTTATTATTGTTACTTTGCTCTTCATTTTATTGCTTTTCATTGTAGCTTATGTATATTTTGATACCTTATCATTATATACATAACTCATATATTTTAATTTGTATTCATTTCATAAAAGTTTCTTAGCAGATAACATGGGATTTGTTCTCATACCTTTTTACCGTTTAATAGGTTTTTAATAATTATTGTTAACTTGTCTTTCTTCAACCATGATGAAGACTTACAATTTAGGCCGAAATGTAGCCACAAAATATAATAATATTTTTTTTTTTAATTTTAATTGTGTGTTGTTTCTGACAGCAACCTCCAGCCAACTTTTGAGCCATGGTTGTATTATAAAAGATTATTCCTAGAAATGAGCAAAATTCTCATGTTTAATAAATACTCTTGCAGAATGTTCTCTGACTCTTTTGCCATAATTATTTTTGACAAATTGACAATGAAAACATATTTATTTTGGAGCTGTGGTTTAAAAATTGATAAAAATCAACATTATACTTATACAGAGTTTCTGCCAATTTGAATGCCTCAGAGTTATTAAATAAGAGGTTTACATTTAATATGTAAAAAATAAATTGAATGCAAATTTATATTAAAAAAGTAAATCACAAGTTTATTATGTACGGCCATTAATATAATACTAAGTGTTTTAACACACTCATTAAAAATAAATTTGTAGTGTGAAGTTGCCCCTTGGACTTACGACTTATCTGATGGAATAAAAGTTGTCTATGGAAGAAAAGATTGTCATAAAGGACCTACTTGGATTAAAGAAAAAGATTTTAACAGAACAAAGTGGTCAATTAAAGATTGTCCAGGTATGTGATAATGTTAATATTTTAAAATAAAATAATTACATTATTTGTTAGATAGGAAACTTTTATTTTACTAGTATTTTATTTATGATAATACTTAATCTTGTTTAACCATGATCACATTATTTATTTATGATTGTATTGTGAGAAACTTAAAATATAAACAAATAAATTTAAATCCTTTTTATTATCTACTTACATAGTTTATTATTATTAAAAACAATTTCATTACAGTAGTGAAGGTATATTATTAATTTTAAATTTGATTTCTGAATTTATGTGGCAATAGTTTACAAAGAATGTTGAAATATCAGAAAATCCCAACAATGATGAAATAAGTTTAAAAACAGTTAGTATACTCTATTGAGAATTTTCGCGTTAGACATCTGTGCATCTCCTTAATGCATTCTATGCCTAATCAACATTAGTGAAATGTGTACATTTCTCTTGACAATGTAATATCAAGAAAATCTACTCAACACACAATTGGTGAAGCTTCTTAATTTACCACGACTTTTAAATTAACAATTTATTTAATAAGTTATAAGCTTGTCCTTCTGAAAAATATCCATCCAGTTTAATTGTTAAACAATAAGACACATCTATTCTTGAAGTTATCGTAATCCATTATTGTACTCTCTCAAGACCTATTTATTAGGTGCAGAAGAGTCTTGGTTTGCAGTTATTTCATATACTAAGTGCATAGTAGTCTATTAATGAGAGTATTGAAGCCATACCTGAAATTTGTTTTATTAAAAATATTAAACAGTTTATTTCTGTATTACCTGAGGTGCCCAAGGATCTCAAAATTATTCTCCATTTACCTTTTCAATAGATTTAGTTCGTCAAAGACTATCATGAATACCAATGCTTAAATTTTTAAAATCTAAACTTGTTATAAGTATCCCATGACAACCATATCACCTACGAGGCTTCTGGCAAGAACTATGGTACATTTTATTACATTACTTTAAAACATAAGGCCCAGTATATTTCCAAGAGAACTATTCTAGGTCTTAATTTCCACATCAAAATCTTTAAAAATATTTATCCTCGTCCATCCATCAACTTTTGATACTATCTGGGTCATAAAGGCTCCCAATTTTATCAATGATTTTTATTAAAGTTATTGTTGGTATTTAAGGATATAAATTTGGATTCATCACTTCTCCATGAAATTTCCTTTCATTTACTTTTTCAATCATAAAAGTCCATCACTCTTGAGAGACGGAAAAGGAATTTTTACTATCGTATTATATATAGTGTAGATTTCACATTTTTTTAAAATAATGATAGTAATCCGTCAATAAATTGGGTCAGCTCTACAGTTGTGGTCCTACATGTAATCTGATTATTATAAATTAAAAGGAAATTAAACCAGAATAATTAAATGACTTCAACCCTCTAGTACAGACTATATGGGATGTATCCTCAGCATCAGCTCATGCAATAATCTGAAATATCTGATCAAATTATTTTGATCTGATAATTTTGATACTTTGCACATTAATTTTTATTTTGAGATTATGTTTCAGCAAGTCATTATAATTTGTTCTTCATTCTCTTAACCAGTTTCAGATTATTTAAATATTTTTCTTAATTTACAAATCAATAATCCATTATTTAGATTTTGTATTTTATAAAGCACAAGCATTTCAAAAAATGTGGCTATGGAAAAGTATACTGATTGTTTATGATTTACCACAACCGATCTTGGATAGATTTTTCTGTTTTTTTTTTTTTTTTAATATTAATGTCAATTCATATTAAAGTCACAAATAAACTGAGAAAACAATTGGAGGCTGTCAATATGGCTTTGGACAGAATCTAAAAACACTACTTCAAGTATTCTTCTCTCGGCAAATATTAAAATACAAGAATACAAAAATGAAGGCTTTGCATAATTGTTAATGGGCTTACAGTTCTATTAAAAGATTGAAGTTGCATAATATTTGGATTGAACAGAGGATGCCAAACTAATTAGTTTATGTTAGAATGATTTTTCCTCTACCATTCTCTCATAATTTTATATAACATTCATGAAAATCTTCCATAGCTTCTTGTGTAGCCATCATACCAATCAATTTCAAATTTGTATAGTACCATAAGAAAGTTATTATATGTCTAGTAGAATAAATTGGACTCTAGCAGCTCAATTTGAATTTAATATATGAAAATAGTATTTGTCATTGTTTAAATATTAAAAATTTTCATTGAATTGAATATTCAAAACTAGTAAATGTATTCTTTATTTTTATCACCGGAAAGATGAAAAAGAAGCTTTTTCAACAGATGTAATTATGAAAACTGAAAAATTTGATTATTGGATAATGATTTTGAGTTTTGAGATAAAAATTGAGCAGTTATACCTCAATATATTCCAATTTTTACTGTTCATTCATTTTCGTATTGCCATTATTGACTTGAGAGGTCAGTTTTATGTTTTCTTGAAGTATATCATATTTGATTAGTGATTTTTAAAATTTATTTGTATTAGAGGAAAAACTAAATCCGCCTCAGTTTGATGGCCTCAAAAAATTGTTTTTTGCAACCTCAATAACATTTGTTTCAGTAAGTGCTGAAAATAAGAACAACAGTCTTCTTTGCTATTTCATATCCTTATTTCTTATTTTAAAATAATTTACTTTTGTTTACAAATTGTGCGTTAGATATTATAGTGTCTTATTGTTTACTCAAGTGATGAGACAAAACTGAAGATAAGATGAGATCATTTTGTTTACAAATTCATTTAGTGTAAGGATTAATCTAATAACTTTATTAGTTTTTTTTTTTTTTTTTTTTAAAGGAATAGATTACTATTTACAAGAAAACGAAATATGTCACTTTTTATGTCTTATCTTATAATGAAGTGCATATATACTTATAAGATTATTATACAAGTGAAAGTAAATTCTCTGAAGGAACTCAGTACTGAATCTTAGGACCCCCAGGAAGTAGAAGGCCTCAAGGGGATTCTGAATTTGCATGTATCAAAACTTAACCCCTGCTCACAGTTGTGCTCTACCCAGCAGTAAAATGGAATTTCTATTCTTCTTCCTCTTAAGTGAGGACACGTCTTTATTAATTCTAACTCTTTCACTTCGCCATTGTTTCCGCACTTTTGTCTCGTTTAATTAAATTTTCATCGCTTTGTTCCTGCTTCAGTTTATTCAGACAAGAAATTCGGCGAAGTTTCATTTCATTTTCCGCTCATTTATCTTTCTCTCTCTCTCTCTCTCTCTCTCTCTCTCTCTCTCTCTCTCTCTCTCTCTCTCTCTCTCTCTCTCTCTCTCTCTCTCTCTCTCTCTCTCTCTCTCTCTCTCTCTCTCTCTCTCTCTCTCTCTCTCTCTCTCTCTTTCTTGTTCTCCACCCTATATTTCCGCCTTTTCAATGAACCGCACTGTGGGAAATTTGAATAACATTATGCAGTTAACTTGAAGTTGTATTTTACTGTCGTTTACATCAGTTAATTTAGGTTTCGTTTGATTGATCCTTGATCGAATTGTTGTTTTTGAAAAATATATTTATAAAAAACAACTATTATAAACTAAAGAGATGAAAAATAATGAAGATATGCGTTCATATATGTTGTTATTAAGTTTGCCGATGTTTCAACACAAGAACGTGGGTCATCAGGGCAACGATTGCCTGGCTAGACTAGACAAGCAGTGAGTGTTTGTGAAGTTTGCCAACATTTCGACTGAAGTATCATACCACTCGCTCAGTTCGTGTCTAGTCTAGCCAGCAACTAGCAATCATAAGGCAAGAGAACTGAATGGGTGGTGCGATATCTCGGACGAAAGGTGGACAAACTTAACGAACACTCGTTCTTTTCTTGTCTAGCCTAGAGTAATGGCCATACCTAGTCGAAATATCGATATTTTTCTTCCGATATTCGACATTTTACTATCAATAGTACCTACTTCGATATCTTCCTTTCGATATTTTAATTTTAAAATAAAAACTAAATGTTTGGTTATAATTTGAAAAAAATCCAAACAATCAGTCTTATATCTCCAAAATACAGGCAAAGAAAACAAACCCGCCAACGTTTTGCCAATTCAGGCACAGGCGGATGTACGGGGGGAGGGCTTTCGGGCTGAAGCTATCTCCCAAAATGGTAAATATATAACCATGTCTTTATGAAAAAATTATCTCTAAATTATTATTATTCATGTAATTACATTGAATAGGACGCCAAGTATCACTAATAAACTATTTTAGATATTTTCTTTATTTTTCTTCTAAGTTATTATTGTAATATATATATATATATATATATATATATATATATATATATATATATATATATATATATATATATATAATATCTTCGGGCTGAAGCCCTCTCCCCTCAAAATTAAATTCTGTATCCGTTAGTGAATTGAGCGGTCATCAGTCATCAGGACAGAGAAGAGCAGCTAATCGAACATCACTCTAGGATAGAGATGGGCTAATGCTAACTAAGTATTATACTCAAATTAATCAATAATGGGAATTCAATCACTACTTCAGTTAATCGTTTTATATCAACTGAAGTAGCAATTAAATTCTTTGGTACTCAAAAAATACCAATATTTGAGTAAAATACTTAATACTCAGTACCCAGAGTAGCAGTAGTTCATCTCTGCTCCAGGACATCCAATTGCATCCTGGGAGGAAAGTAAAACAACACAACCGAGTATATGAAATTAGATGCGTACAATGCTCGAAGATATATTATTGGTGAAACTTCCCAAAATTTCCAAAGATGATTGTATCATCATCAATACGACTGCAAGAATATTAACAGAAAAGAGCCTAACGTTGCGTTAGCTCAACACTCTAAAATATTATAACATGTATTTGATTTTGGTTATGTCCGAGTGCTACAGAAAGAGAAGAATAGATCTAAGGCAAAGATATTTGAGACTATAGCATATTGCACAGAATCTGGATAATGTTGTGAATTACAGGACTGACAGTGGAAACTTGAATAACTTTTATTAGGAAACGTTGAGAAC